TTCAGAGCCCTCTCATGATCAACATGCTGCAAACAAGGGACAAATGGATGAAGGAATGGCTAGATATATCTATTCCACACGGATTCTATAACAACTCAAATGTGTAAGTAGTATAACTTGCACATGGAAATGTTTTCTTATGTAATATAACTAGTTGGTAAAGGTAACATATTTATGGTAAAAGAAACATTAAATCCAGAAATATTTAAATCACCACATCAGAAACAACCACTGATTACAGTTTTTGTATTTGCTTTTAGGATTTTTTTCTTTGCAGAAGAGAAACATGTAGGGGCTGGGGATTTAGCTCAGCGGCATAAGCGCTTGTCTTGCAAGCAGGCAGTCATGAGTTCGATCCCTGGTACTGATAAAAGACGAAAAAGACAAAAAAAAAAAAAGAAGAGAAACGTACTGAGGAGGTGCACTTATATATGTGATTGTCATATTAAATATGCAGATGTATATCTTTTAAAACATTTCATAGTAAACATTGGCTGGGTAATTGATTGGACAATTTTTCACCACTATGACACATGTAATGTCAACTTACTTTATTCTTTTGTGGATGAAGCCTGAATTTAATGAGGCTCCTCTTGGCCATTTTGATGATCTCTAACTCAGTTTTGTCATTGCAAGTAATGCCATCCTGAACTTCCAGTTGTTTCCTTAGGACAAACATCTACACATAAATTTACTGGGGGAAAAATTATGAAATCTTTAAATGTTCTTTACACCTCTGACTGACTGGGATTACACAAATGTTAGCTATCTCGGGTGAGGTAATGGCTGTATAAGAAGATTCATCTGTGGAAACTCATCAGTCAGCGCAAATACATAAGTGTTTTGTATGTAAAGTGTTTCAGAATTACATATCACTAGACATAAAGCTTATTTCAAAAAATCTAATAGGCTGAACAAATTCTATGTGTACCATGCAAGAAACTAGAGAAAGGAAGCAAGATGGTTGACAGGAAGCAAAATCGCTGCCAGCAAGCGTAATAGCCACCACTCACCATTTCTCAGGGACTGTATCCTAAGTGCAGTGCCAAGTCCAGAATTAGGCCAGATCTGCTTGTGGGGATGGAGATGGTAAGCAGCTGGACGAGGCAAAAAGAGAGATTAGCCATAACTCCTAGAGGACAGGAACCCCAGGGATGATAAAACCTGTTAAAAAGCATCTGTATGAATTCAAATCTTAAGAGTATGTGATGACTTTTCTTTAGCAAGATACCTTCAGCATTTGTCAGAAATTCTTCAGCATTCGTCAGAAATGTGTAGCAGAAGTAGAGCTTCCATGTGGGATTGTTTTGCCTTCTTTCACAGAGGGTAAGGGGCCAGGAGGAAGTCTGAACACAGGTAAATACTCATTCTTAGTGAAATCAAGATATTTAGTCCCAGCCTTTCCCTTGTATCTAACAATCTAGTTTGGGAGCTAAAATTAGTTCCTGATTCATATCAGATAAATGATCCCCCCAAAAATGGAAGGACAGCATGATGCTACCCTGAAGAGGAAAGAACAAGAGGACCTCATCCTTCAGTAGCAGAAGCCCTCTTGGCACTGGGATGCCATCCCTTGCACACTCCTGGGAATGGTGACCACCCTAAAGGAGGATTCTTAAAGCAGAGAGCTTGAAGAAGGGACAGCAGTGATTACTGGGGACATGCAGATGGTAACAGTGGACTACGTGGCACATAGTGCTGAGCAGTGGAGAAGGGACAGCAGTGATTACTGGGGACATGCAGATGGTAACAGTGAACTACGTGGCACATAGTGCTGAGCAGTGGTGAAGGTCAGGGAGGAAATGATCAGATGCAGAGAAATGTAAAGCCTGGTCCTGGGGCCATTTCCAGTGAGAACTTCCTGTGTGACCCTACCTCATCACCTCTCTCTGCCCAACCCCACCACCAGGCAGGGCTCTGTGGCCCTCTTCAGTGGCAGCTGTGTACTCTGTCATGCCACCCATACCAAAAGACCCAGCATGGGGACGGTGCCTTCCTTATCCACTTCTGCTTCCAAGCCACCCCCTATCCTCCTTCAAACACACTAGGATCTTGAAAGCCCTGCTGTCCAGCACAGTCCCACCCACTGCCTCTCATCTACCATCTCCCTCTCTCCCTTCTGCACTGACTGCCCTCTCCTGTGACCTCACTCATCATAAAGACAGCCCTCTTCACTCTACTCTCCTAGCCCTGGGGCCTTCTCACTCCTAACAACTGTCCCTGGGCTCCAACTCAGCCACTCTTGTCCAGGTCACATTCTGTACCACCAGGCACCTCCCATGTATGCTGGGACACAGCTGCCACCAATCTCTCACCTGGGCTTCTGCCATCTCCTAGTGTCCAGAATCAAGTGAGATCCTGGACATGATTTTCCCACCAGACAGGAGTAGCCCCTAGACAGGAAAGAGTCACAGTGGACAGATGGAGTGACCTGAAATGGCAGCAAGGACGTGGGCATCCTGGCAACAGGAGGCAGGAAGAGAGTGGAGGGTCCTGTCTTGGGAGAAATTTGAAGTGAGTGGCCCTCCCAGCTTATTTGTAACATCCCTGAAATAGACCCACCATGTCACAAATATTGGGGTACCAGCCACATACCTTGGGTCCGACAACTTTTTTGTGCTACTGAGGCCCCATGTGTGAGCATCCTCGGCTTTCCCGAGAACATTCTCCTACACGCCAGCCCCCAGGTCCAGCGTGGGTGCCTGGGTCCCCCATGGGAATTGACAGCCCACACTTCACAACGCCCTGCCCTTCCTGCCTCGCTCTCACTCTCAGCTGCTTGGTGATTTCCTTTGCCTCCCAAATAAACCACTTGTACCTAGACCCTGTGTCCTAGGGGCTTTGAGAACTCAGAAATATCACCAGGTCATGACAACACTAGATCCATTTTATGTCCTTGGTAAGTAAATTACTGGAGGAGATCGCTAGGGAAAATACAGGGTCTAGCGCCTCATGAGGGATCACTGCAAACTGAGTTCCTGTAAGTCTCATTGCTGGGAGCCTGGTAGATTCTGGAGCTGACCACCAACAACCACAGCCCAGAGCACTAAGCAGAGTCTACTGTGTTATGCTGAGATGGAAGAAAACCACAGCAAAAGGCCCCAGTGGCCTTGTAAGGGCCAAGCAGTGTGTCTGTAAAGAAGCAGCATACTTTCGTTCTCTCCCATGGACAATGGATAGGCACTCACTGGGTCCTTTCCCCAAAGTCAAGCACCTGAGAGGCCTTAAGACAACACAGAAAGTTTCAGAAGGATGCAGTGGTTCAATGCATTTCTCCCTGCCACCACCGAGTCAAGGGCCAGAGGTCAGCTCTCGACAGGCTGCACACCCAGCCCCTGGACCTGCAGGAGGAAAGCAATGGTTGAATAGAAAGAGGGACCCAGTTGATGTGCCAAGGTGATGTGGGTTTCCTGGGAATGAAGCGACCTAAGAAGAGGCTCAACTTGAACCAACCTTCTCATGTACAGTGGTCTCCTGATAAAGGAACTCAGTACAATAGTTGGTGGGGTACATTTCCCTTGTAAGGACCGCTGGTCTCCCACTCAGGTCCCACACTTCCCCCAGAGTAGCACCCCATCCCCCATGAAGGAGACAGCACAGCCAAGTGCAGGGCAGGGAGAAAGGGGAGCAGCAGACCTCAGCTCAGACCAAGGAAGAGCTCCAGCCTGAGCTCTTGGAGGGCCTCTTGGCTTGGAGGGCCAAGAGGAAGTGTCAGAGGTCGGTCCACAGATGCCTCCACCCAAAGCCCGAACCTGGAGTTGAGCCTCATGCTCAACAACAGAAGGACTTTGAATGGAATCCGAGGTCTCAATTAGAAAGAATAGGCCCCAGGCTTGCGAGCCAGTAGTGACAATACTAATAATGAGAATGCTCGGGAGATGACAGACTCTGGCCGAGGTCTCATCACGGGAGCAGCTCCCCAATGGGAGTGGTTGGCCAGCAGAGGGAAGGTGAGAGCAGGATCTGGAAATACGAAGACTGCGCCATGGGGTAGAGAAACATCACCTAACAAGAAAAGAGATAGGAAAGTCCTGACCCTTGGGACCCCAGGATGTGTCCTTATCCCTGAGTATGACCACAACCAACACGACTGGTGTCCTCATGAGAAGACAGGAGTGGAGAACAGGACACAGGGAGAGCACGCAGTTGCAGGGTCACTGAGAGAGGCTGGCGGGAGAAACTGCAAGCCAAAGACGCCCAAGGTGGCGGCCACCACCAGGAGGCCTGCAGGGATAAGAAAGGTTCTTCCCTGAGTGTGCCAGCACCTTCATGGTGGACGCCAGCCGTCCGAAACAGCAAGCACATACATGGTCCTGGATTTATACCACCTGGTTTGTGGCACTGCACCCCAACCATCACAGAGGTCTCTGTCCCTCCGCAGGGCAATTCCAGGACCAGAGGTCAGAGCTTGGCCGCTGTCCCCAGCCCAGGGTGGGGGAGGTTCTGCCCATCGAGTCTACAGAAGCCTCACAAAGGCTTCTTCCATTTTCTACCCCCATTAGCTGCACCCACGAGTCTCCCTTGGCCCGATGGCAAGCGTCGTTTTGCTCTAGTGGAGTGAGCTCGGCCTGCGCATGCGCGGCTGGAGGGAGGCACCAGGAAAGCTGCCCTGAGCACTGTGCCCATGGGAAGAGAATTCAGGAACATTGCTGAGCCCTTTGTGTATCCATCATGCCGGCCTCTGCCTTATTAGGGAGCCTTCAGAGATGGGGTGTGGGTGGGCATGAGCAGGGGTGGAAGGGGCAAGGAGTCCTGGAGAAGCCACTGTGAGCAGGGAACAAGCTTAAATGGGACAGAAGGGGTCAGGGGGATGGACTTGGGCTCCAGGGCTCCTGGGCTCCACTCATCCCAGGACTGCTGGGCTCTGGTGCAGGAAGCTGGATGGTGACAGAGGGTGCCGGGCTCTACTGGGCTTGGGGACCTGCCCCAGAGCTCGGCCACTGTCCCCAGCCTGGGGTCCTGCCCACAGAAACATGACCACCAAGAACAGCAAACGCACACCACTTTCCAATATACTTTATTAAAAAGTTTCTTTGTATAAATTTCCTAAAATTTTTAAAATTAAAATTAAACCCCATCCCCCTCCCTCAAAAAAAAATTAGAGGAATGCCAAAAATATTATGTCTCACGGCTTTTTTCGAATTCTGTAATTGAGGCTTTGGTCCCAACAGTGCACACAGGTCAAGGGACACTGCTTCCTCCTGACGAGATCATTTGTCATAGGGTTTAGAAAAAGAAAAATTAGCCCAAAGCCTCATCCCGGAAAGAAACGGTGAGGGCAGGGGGCTGAAAGTGTGGGACTCTGGTTTCTCGATCTAAAGCAGTACGTAACTAAGGGATGAACCAAGCGGGAGTATATAGAGGTGCTGGGCACAGGGGGGCTGATTTCTAGACCTTGCATTGCCCAGAATGGGCAAAACACGAACTCTGCGGCACTGAAACTGACGGGGTGCTCACATACACACCAGCAGGGGCTAACGATTACACAACATTCAAAGTACATGACGTAACTGCCTGGAGACAGAGAGCCAGGGTCCACAGACACGTTTAGCACCAAATTGACAGGTCTCGCGGCAGAAGGCTTCCTTTCCGGGTCTGAGTGACAATCAAAGCACAGAGCCAGGGAATGGACCCGGGCCTTCTGCAGAGACGAAGATGAAGACTTGGTTGCCATGGCTGCCTCCTTCTCCTTCAGAGGTATGTGCTGTGGCCAGTCATGCCTAGGTTCCCATCACATTGATGACTCCGGGTTTGGGGAGTGCTGAGCCTGGGGTGGGTGAGAGAGGAAAGGAAATAGCCATGTTACTGACCATGCAGGGTAGCGCATGTAAAGTGACTGACTGTGCCCCAGGTCTGCACCCCTTTTTCCCTCTCTGCTCATCACTGTCACCAGCTCCTGTGTCTACCTCAGCCTACACTCAGGCTCTAGGCAGCTGGAGTTCACCCCGACTCTGCATAGTCTCCCGGCCCAGGCAAACTGCATTCTCCTCTCTGGTGCTGCCCACAGGCTCTGGGCTGATCAGTGTTTATTCTGTCACCCATCGGGTTGCCCAATATCATAGAGACATGGGAGGTCCCAAAATCAACGTTATTATTTATAGGGAGCAAAATTATCTAGAGATAAGTAGTGCGTGTGTATATCTTCAGCATTGTCTGTAATGGGCCATCATTTTACTTTTCTGATAATCATGTTTGATGATAATCATATTTTATGAATAATCAGAACTTGGTAACATTTCTGAAGGATGCTAAGTAGTTGGCCATGTGTTTCTTCATTATCAAAAACACAGCATGATTTTAGGAAACAAAAATTAGATTCCTGTAGGGTACTTTTTATGAAATTTTATCTTTGCTCGTGTGTTTTATTTGAATGTCTTCTTCATCTGCAGATGCAATTTATCTTCTTTTTCAGATGCATCACTAACGTTGTGGCTCAAATATTTTCCAAGGGCGAATCACGAACCAGACTTCTTGTCTTGTTTGGGACAGCCCCGGACAGGAAGAAGAATCACTCACCAGAAGCGCAGAGCTTTTCACAGTTCTGCTGTGAGTCGAATCTGTTTTCATTTCCTCCACACCCTCCATACCAGAACCTCGCACAGCTCTCAGTCTTCGTGTCATAGTACCACCTTAGCACAAAATCCCTGCAAGTCCCGTCATCCCTGGGCAACTTACAGATATCTACAATGATAAGGGGGGAAAAAGCACCGATGAGACCAGTTGTGTGACTGGCGGCTGTGGGGCCATGCAGCCCCGAGGTCACAGCACGACGGCAGGGAGAAGGAGAGCTTCTGGGGGAAAGTTACTTGCCCTGCCTGAGCCTCAGTGTCCCCGCAATGCATGGACATAATAGTCATGTGTGGCTGCAACGAGCATGTGAAATCCTTGCTCTGAAAGGCCTTCATGAATCTGAACCTTAGCGATCCTGTTGGATCCCTGAGAAGGGAGTCAGCTCTGTCCTCAGTCTCTGTCTGAAGTTGGACACCATGGAGATTTTTACTTATTTTTGCACCTTGGTAAAATGGCATTTAAATCCCTTCAAAATATAACTAAAAATAAGGTGTTGCTTTTCATAACAAGACAGAGACTGAAAGTCAAAGGCAGAGCTGAAGCAGAAACTCCCTGGGGGTACACGCATGTGCATAGCCCCGGGCAGAGCTGGTGTCCCCCTTCACCTGCCGAATTCAACAAGGACACACAAGAAAACATGCTGAAGTCAATAAAATTAATAACAGCAAAGTGCCCCTCAGCAAGCTCCCGGTGACACTGAGAGGCTCCCTGCCTCTAGCAGGAAGTCTCTGTTTGGATGCATATTTCTGGTGCTGGGATGCAGAGCAGGAACTGGGGAGTCTTCTCCACCCACGGGGGTTTCTGTTTACAGAGCTTTCTGACCAAACCCAGACTGTGCTGGGAAAGAGGCACAGACATCTGCTATTATCTATAAGTCTGGAAGCCCTAAGCTTCCTGTGGGCCAAAGGTTATCAGGGGCAGATAATGCTGGCCCGGCTGGTGGGCCCGAGTCTCTCAGCTCTACAGGAGCAGATGCTGGCCCTTTGACTCTGAAACCCAGCAGGGCCAGCTGTGCCTGGCTGCAGAGAAGGTAGGCATCTGTGGTTCTGACCAGCACCAAAAAGTAAGGGAAACCTGCATGTCTCATTAGTGATCAAAGCTGGAGTGACCATGGTGGACCAGACTCCAAGGCACATGAGACCAAGACGCAGGCTGCCTTGGCCCTGGTTGGCAGAGAGGGTAGAGGGGCTGGTGGCTCCACATCTGTGACACCTTCCCTCAGACCCTTTCTATCCCAGCAGCCTGGTCAAGGACCTATGGGGACCCAAGGAAGCTGTAATGAAATGAGGACAACTCACAAAGCCACCTCTCTTCTCTCCAGCATGACCATAGCTGAGGGAGGAACGTCAAAGGGGACTCAGAAGGCAGGCTGGAGTGACATGCCTCATCCTTTCTGCAAGCCACCCCAGCTTCTGCTCTTGATGGCCCATGTTCTTTCCCCAGGATGCCCAAAGGGGCACTGCATCCCAGCAGGTGTGCTGCTCCCTGACCCATAAGTCTCTCCAGTTTCCTTTGATTTGTACCCAAACTACCCAGAACCAGACCACCACTCCTGCATTCCCATTTTATTCTCACAGGAACCCTGCTAAGAGCCGGCCGGACTTGCCACAGGAATATCAGGACACTGTCCACATGGACAAAGATACATTTGGAAAACAGAGACAAAAGTGTTCCTGAGGCCCCACACTATCCAGGCCAAAACGCCAGGCATCTATTTCCACGGCATGGAAATGGGAGAGATCTCTTCTAAGGAAGCCTTCTAGTTTTAAGCTGACCTCATCCTGACTTCCAAGACCTGCCATATGGGGGAACCTGCTAAGTGCCTGCAAACCTGCCTGTACCTGCAAACCCCTGCTAAAACAAAGTTGACTACGGTGTCCTGCAGTAGGTAGGGAGATGGCCAGGCCTGATGGAGATTAGCCTAGCCTTTCCCTGCAAAACTGAGGCTCAGGACACGAAAACTGTGTTTTCCCTCTAAAACAAGGTGGCCCCTTCAGGCGCGACCCTGCAGGGCTTGGCTGTGCATTCCCTAACCTCTTCTCTATCTTCTCTTGAGATGCTAGGGGCAGCCTGAAAGACAGGACAGAGGCAAAGAGCTTGTCCCAGAATCACTGTCTAAGTCAGCTTCTCTCTGGAAGAAATTCTCTCTAGGAAACTCATCTGCAAAGCAATAGTGCATCTTACATTCACTGATATTCTCATGCAAACTATGCACAGCACGACTAAGACTGCAGTTACTATATTTTTATAGGTTACTTAAGAAATAGCTTAGTGTTGCCTTTCCTCTGTCTCTAAAAGTACAAACACCATTAAAATATTCTAACCCCTCCCAAAGAAAATACATTAACAAAGAAGAGAGGAAGAAGAAAGGGAGAAAGGGGCTGGCCGAGAACGGGAAAGGTGAGCGCCTGGTGCCCCTCCTCTTTCAGTATCCATTTTGAATCTCGAACATTTTGAAATAAATAAATATTCGATAATTCAATTCCAAAAGAGCTGTCAAGAATGTCACAGAGTGCAGGCCCGTGCTGTGTCCATGGAGCCGGTAGGTACTCGATTACTTCTCCTGGCAAGGTGCTGTTTTGTTACTGAGTGGGCTATGGACACCAAGTGTGCAGGGCTTTTGCTCTTACAAGAAACAGGGAATTTATAACCTCATGCAGCCTTGAATCACTGGGTGGTATATGCATATGCATGTGTGTGAAATAGGTCACGCACACCCTGGTTTGGACACATGTACCAGGATGAGACAGACAAGCTTTAGCCTCATCTATGTCAAAGGGCCCCGAGCTATGCTGGAGACACAGCCAGATTTCAGACACTCTTCTCTCCTTGCTGGGTGGAAACCCGTGTCCAAGGTCTCTGTGGAAATCACTTCCCTCCTTTAGGGAAGCTCCGCAGGGCAGCCTACAAGGCTGGGCTCCGAGGTCGTGCTGTTTACGCTAACTAAACCATGTTTATGCATTCTTTTCATCTGGACCACACATAAGAGAACCCAGAATCCCCAGATTTTGCTGCCTGCCAGTTACTCCATGTCATGTGCTCTCAAGGAAGCAAAAGTTCCTGAAAATTTAGCATTTCCCACACTTCAAGGAGCGAAGGTAGCTGGCAAGTGGGGATGAGGGGGAGGGGGCCGCACCGACCTCAGGTCCAGCTGTCCCTGCCCTTATCTCTGAAGGAAGCCTGTATGTTCTCTGAGGCCAATCCTGAGGTCAGCAGCCTTCTAGGACTGGATTAGGAAGAGTTGGGAGCTGCAGGGTCCCATCGGCAGGGACAAAGGCCAGCTGCAGTCCTTCGATGTGAACTCAGATAACTACTTTAGGCAAAAAGCAGAAGAGTCAAGACCACGTTCTCTCTCCCTCACCCCACCCTTTCCACACATGCCTCCCTCCAGTTTTTAGTTTAAGTTTTTTGCAAGTCTTTTCACGACATTCCTAAGATGCTAAAACTGAGTTATGCAATCTGCCGTGAAGCTCTGGCTGCTTTCCACAAATCCACACTGAGGAGGGCCTTGCCTCCCAGGCCTTCCACTGGGAGAAGAGAAATGTGAAAGCCATGTCGCTGTCCTTAACACAGACCAAATCCTAGATTTGTCTCCAAAGGCAAACTATAATTAAAGTGTAAGAAAGACAAGTAAACATCATTTAAAAACTTATGGTGGAAAGAGTAGAATGGGCAATTATGTACACAGCAGCTCAAAAAATAAAGTGCTATTGTTTGTGAGGATGCATGGTTGACATATGCTTCCATCTACCTACAAAACGGCCACGGTCATTCTTAATTTAACTCAGTACAAAAGCCGCCACCAGCATCTTTATCATCATTGGTGATGGCAATCAACACTGTAATGAGAGATGCTTTTCTCCTCCTGGTGGGGGCCAGCCCAGCAAAAAGTAACATACTTTCCCCATACTTAGCAGAAACTTTCACCTCAGGGTCAATAGAACAATATTATTTGAAAGTCTTTGTGGAATTTTGATCTCTGTAATGTGATTATCAACTCTTACTGAGCACTGTTAAGCCAAACACAGCAACCACTTGAGTAATCGGTCTTTATAGGGTGAAGAGACCAGGCTTGAATTCCACCTGATGAGGGCTGACCAGTCTCCCATAGCCCCATTGCCCAGGTCCAGAGGCTATCAAGGCTGCCAGTCACCGAATCACAGCAAAACAGCCAGAAAATGACTGCAGGTAAAGCCTGTGCCAAGCCCAGGGCTCAGGCACACAGGACAGGATGAGAGACAGAGCCAGAGAATGGAATCAGAGCACCACCCGGGTTGCATCCAAACCTCTGCATCCACGGTTCCAATCTGTGCTGTCTGTATTCTCCTAAGCAGTTTCTCACTAGATCAAATTGCTGAGTGGAGGATGAAACCCTCCACTGACCACAAAGCCACTCTCGGCTCAATATGAGCTCAGAGGCAGTGACTAGCAGATGCCTGAGTTCTGCCTGGAACCTTGCTTCGACTACCACCCAATTGCCCCTCAGGGTCCGAGGACAGGGAGGGCGCACCTCACTGGCCCATAGGAAGCTGCAGAATGAAACCACAGAGCCCATATTGATTCTCCCCTGGGAAGTTGTGGCAATCAGACCCAGGCAGACACTCCAGAATCAGTACCTCCAAAGCTTTAAACTGCTGGAGGACTCCAGTCTAGGTGCCACCAGTGGACCTCATGTTTTTGCAACTCACCTGTTCCAGTAAAAGCCAAGGGTTCTGTTTTCACCACTAAATTGATGCTTGCACTAGAAGCTGGCCTTGCTGGTGGTGGAGGTGGAGGCTGAGATTTCTCTATAAAGAAAAAACACATGTAGCTAGTAGGTACATCAGAAACCAAAGGGCTGAAGTCGCTTATTGACCAACACAAGTTTGCATTTCATGAAGAACCTCTCATCTGATCTGAGGGGGGTCATGGAAATAGAGACCTACACAGTCCCTGCGCATGCTATTGATGGTGTGATCAGCACCCTGGAGCCACCTGTTAGCAGCAAGCAGAAGAAATGCCTGCACCTCTGATGGCATCCTCCCACCTCCTACACAAGCTCTTCCGCTGCCACCTAAGAAAACAAAACATGAGGGCCCGCTGAGTCTCTGCACATGCATCTCGCAGAAGGGAGAAGGCTGTAGATCTCTGTACATGCATCTCCCAGAAGGGAGAAGACTGTGAGAAGTGCTGGTGCTTTCCAGTCCCGGAGCTCAGGAGCAGGCACAGCGGCTGGCAGCAGAAAACCACTGGGTTCTATTCCCCCCAGTGCAACCAACGCACCCAAAGGGCTTCCTTTTATTGCCGAGTGCTAAGGGTATTACAGGACAGATTCCACAAGGAGCTGTTTCCTTCCCATCCCGCAGAGATCCCTGTGTAAATCAGAACCGTCCGCACACTCACTCGTGCTAAAGGTGCCACGGAAGACGGCGCGGACCTGCGACCTCAGGTAGCAGACCACCACCACGTAGTACGTCTGTCCAGCCCGCAGGCCACTGAGGACACGCTCAGTAACTGTGAGGTTTTGCCTGAGAACCAGGGACTGATCGTGGGCAGAGGTGACAGTGAGATCATAAAAGTAAGAACTGGGGGGCTCAGGCCTCTCCCAGCGGAGTCTGGCGCTGTGCTCTGTGACCTCAGACACCTGGACTTCAGGCACCGGCTTCACTGAAAGATAAGAGCAGAGAGCAGAGATAAAAATGACATCCACCCAGCCTAACCCAGAGACGCCAGGTGACAGCAGGCCTGGAATCTGGGTGAGGCAGGCAGCTAATTTCTTATTCAAGCTCCTGAAAAATATTGGTCCCGTTATCTATCAGCATGCAACAAAAGATCCGAGTATTCACTGAGTGGGTGCATGCCACCTTTTTATTTTCCTGTTGAAAATCTTGCTATCAAGGAGATAATTTTGAAAATCCAAAATTCTGTATGCCAATCAACTAAGGATTTGATGCAAGATGAGCCCTGTAATTTAAAATATATGAAGTCATGACATTTTAGGGACTGACGTGAAATTCTTCTACAAGAACCTGTTTTTTCTCTGTGCCCATGCAATGAAGACAATTTCTATCTTTTCATGAGTATACACAAATTTCCCTCATCTTCCTTTAGAGCTGGCGATGATCTAACGTTTTCCCTGAGGAAATGATAGAATATTGTGCCCTGGCCTCATCAATCCACCTGTTTGGTATTAGACAATGTTTCTTTCACAGCCAGAGGGGGCACGCAAGTCAGGCTTTGGAGGAAGAGTTGATGGTCTGGGCTCTAATTAAGTTTGCTGAACTAACTACCCTAACGTTGCCACAGTAGGCAGCTCAGGGTGACTTCTCCATGGCTAGATGCTTAGTGTGAAATAAAGCTTATGATCACTGAGGGTCCACCCAGATCTGTTGGAGTAATCGTCTGGGGATGGGGGTCTGGCTCCAGAAACCAATCACAGAAACACTTGCTTTAAAGCCTGAGAATCATTGGTAGGCCATTCTGTCTCTCATGCCCTATGTGAGGTCTAACGCTATTTTCACTTACACCCTCACTCCTTAGCTTAGACAACTGTGTTTCCAGGGCAGATGGGCTGGGTGGACTGACAGCTCAAAGAAAATAGGGGCTCTGACCCCCAAGCCACAGAACAGGCTGGCCGGGAAGAAACACCAGGCACTGGAGCCTCAGCTGTCTCTGAGAGAGTTACAAAAGACTACTTCCCTGAACAAAACAAAGCAATCTTTGGCCAATGCCATTCCAGGGCTAGTAGCTTTTAGAATGCACTTTGCAGGTGGGTATTCAAAACCCAGTGTGATGGCCGTATTTCCACTGTAGTCTAAGCAAGAATCTGAGAGGGCATCTTACCCATGGGATTAGCAGCAGCTGGCTTGAGGGCTGTTGGTTTGGCCTGTGGCCGGGAAGCCTCTGGTTTGGTGGCCGAGGCTGGCTTGGCTTGCATCCTGAGGGCCTCCGGCTTAGTGGAAGCTGGCTTTGCCGGAGGGGGCGGGGGTCTCACAGCTGCTGGCTGTGCTTTTGCAGGCTTTGCTGCAGCCACTGGCTTCACTACTACCGCAGGTCTGACCGTGACTGTGTTTGTGGCCACAGGCTGGGCAGATATAGGCTTTGCAGCAGCTGGATTTCCAGCCACAGGCTTCAAGACAGGTGGGTTTGCAGCCACGGACTTTGCAGCACCTGGGTTCATAGCTATGGGCTTCTCAGCACCTGGATTCGCAGCCACGGGCTTCTCAGCACCTGGGCTCACAGCCACAGGCTTCACAGCACCTGGGTTCGCAGCCACGGGCTTCATAGCAGCTGGGTTTACAGCCACGGGCTTCGAGGCAGCTGGGTTTGCAGGGGCTGGCTTAGCAGACGGCAGATTCACGATAGTTGCTGACTTTGTGGTAGTGGTCACCGGCTTCGTTATGGTCATTGGCTTAGTCGTAACGCTTAAAGTAACGTTATTTGGGACATTTCTGTTAAAACAAATGAAACATTATCTCTGCCATGCTTTCACATGCTATTTGAAATAGACAAAGACAACCCCACAAGCTCTGTGACATTTGCCATTTTAGCAAACTACATGCCCTAAGTTTGCTAAGTACAGTGTTATCTATGCTAAATTTGTTTTTGGAATTTTTGTCTCCCAAAAGAATATTCAACATCATATAAATACAGAGTCATTTAAAAAGAATCATATGTTGTCTACAAATATGTCTGGCCGCCTTGGCAGGGATTTTCAGCTCACTTGGCTGAGATCAGGAATCTCTGCCTCTAGGGACATGGAAGCGAGCTGAAGGATGTAAGGCAGGACAGGAAGAAGGGTTTGCAGGGGAGAAGGAGACACCAGACAGCCAAACAACCTACCATGTCTGGTGTGGCTGGATTTCTCAGAGATGAGCTACCTCAAAAATGGATTCTGTGTATCTTCTTAAAATGGCCCAACAGGCACAGGAGTGGGGTCCACCAGGGACAAGAGTACAGGCAAGTGTGGACTCAGAAATGGCACTCATAGGATGTACCAGGAACCTGTCCCCAAGAGAATGCCATGGTGTGCTGCCCTGATTTTCTAGGAGGTGGAGATGCTGGGCTTTGCCCCAGAGATGTGGGCTCCAGTGACCCCTAGAAAGTGAGGGTCCATGATCTCCTGGCTGCGACCCAGGGTAGACAAAGAGAGTTCCTTCTCCTCCCTGTCACATCTCACTGTGCTGTCAGGCTGGTCTTGCCTGAGCCGACTCACAGGCTCTGTTCTGCCAACGTTCCGTCAGCCTCCTTAATCCTCCAGAACACTCGCTAAACTTGGACCAACTTTCTTACCACAGGGAAAACAGAATGCACCGAGTAACTTAGCACTTGAAGTTTTGTGGTTTCAGCTTGAAGACAGAGTGCATCTGAGAGGTTGCCTTCTCTGTCCTCCTGTCCTGTACAGTGAGATATTGCAGATCCTCAATCATCCCTAGCTCTTCACTCCTAAATCCAGGAGGACATCCAAAATGCTTTGGTCAAGAGAATGTGGCAGAAGTTAGCAGCCTGCCAGGTCCAGCCTACGTCTGAAGAGACCTGTACCTTCTTGCACTTCCCCGTGAGGTGTTCACCTTTGAAAAAGCCCAGCCAACTGGAGAACAAGAGGCATATGGCAGAGATGAACCATCCTAAGTGTGGGTAGCCTCGACCAGCCGTCCACACTACAAACAGCTGACCACTAACATGCAGTTTGACTGTGTTTAAATTTAAAAACCACTACAGTAAAAGACAGATTATAATTAATCCCCCTCAAAATATTTCCCCTTGCTTCAAACGCATTTGTCCCATCATTCTGGCCGCTTTCTGCAGCAGCTCTGGGGGTCCTCTTTCCTGAGTGTCTTTAGTTGCACTGGCGTGGAGGTCTTGATGTCCTGAATTGATTCAAAACATTGACCTTCCATGCTCATTTTGACTTTGGGGAAGAGCCAGAAGTCGCACAGCATCACATCCAGTAAATAAGGTGGATGAGAGGACACTATGATGTTTTCACGAGCCTGTCTTTCTCTGAGATGATACCTCAGCTGCAGTCACCCCATTTTTTGATCATGCTGTGTCAAGACACTCAGGAAAGAGGACTCCAGACCTACTTCAGAAAGCAGCAACAACGATGGGATAGCAGTGTTCTGAGCGGGAGAGTGGATTTTGAGAACATTCATGGTAATTAATCTTTTATTGTAATACATTTTTAAATTTAAAATACTATATATATATATTTTTAATCACTTTTTGTATAAGGGAGTCAAGAGAGACCAGGAGAAGCACCCAGGAGGACCCAGTCAGGAATTCCTGACCCACAGATCTGCAAACTAAATTAATTAATTTAGTTAACTAAATTTAATTAATCTTTTATTGTAAACTAAATTTAATTAATCTTTTATTGTAATACATTTTTAAATTTGAAATATTATATATTTTTTTATCACTTTTTGTATAAGGAAGTCAAGAGAGACCAGGAGAAGCACCCAGGAGGACCCAGTCAGGAATTCCTGACCCACAGATCTGCAAACTAAATGGAGAGTTGCTATTTAAACCACTAAGTTCTGGGTAGTTTGTTACACAGCAAATGCTAACTGATCCACAGATTCTTTGAGGAGACCCAGGAGACCTTAGGAAGTCACATGCTCCAGACACCAAGGTCCTTCACTTTAATGTGGCCAGAATGGCATGGGGGACCCCTGCCTTCCCCCTCACTCTACAGTCCTTGAGACAAAAACTAGAACCACTTACACTTGTTTGTGACCAAACTTCACACCATTCTTTGCTGGTTGGTCCTCTTGGAACCAATCGCACTGTTTCTTGATGTCAGGGGACAAGTAGAACGCATTCTCACCTGGAGAGTGACAGAGAAAACCACACTTTAACTGTGTGTGAATCATACTGCAGTGGAAACCAATCACTCATGAGCCAAATGGACCACGTGACATTTCCTCAATCCATAAATAGTTGTTAAATTAATTAACTTTCCCAGACAAGCTAAACACAGTGATTTTAAATATTAAAGTGTAGGGTGCCCAATGCATCAAGCATCTTAAGTCAACACTTTCTATGTTCTGCTATTTGGGTGATTAGGTTAAAGGTAATACTCAATACGAGTAAGACAAAAATAGAAAACAATGTAAGTCAAAAGTTTAAAAATTTCCAAACCCTGACCATCAAATTATAATGCAAGTACACTGAATACTTCCTCCAATTTTTATTTTGTTTTGTTTTATTTTTTCCCAACACTTACTTGTATGCCACTTTTTACTCTTCCAAAGACAGGATCAATGTCTTTGGATAAACTTACAACTTATATTTGTTTTACATTTTCCCTAAGTTTTCTGGGGGACAGACCTTCATAAACATGAAAGCTGTTTTCATTGGCCTCATCTTTCCCCTGACCAGTGAGTATCCAGCAGGTACATTTGTTGATGCTTTATAGACCTCCCACACTTCTCAATCTGCTGCCGATGCTAACCCTCTGCACCCTGGGGGAAGTGATGGTCTGCACCACCCTACCTCAATGTGGTCTGCAGGGACAGGCTGCACATCAGTAAAGACCCCAAGAATCCTGTTTGGAGCTGGGAGCTGAGCCCAGGTCCACTCAGTCTCCTTGGCACACTGATGGCCCCTGTGGTAAGGAGCTGCCCAGCCAGAGTGGGTCACACAGGTGGAACCAGGGACATGGATGTCTGTCCCCATGCTCCCCGCTGATTCCAATGCTTACAAGCATCTCTGCACAAGGCAGGTGTCAACAGAGCAGCCCAGTGAACGAACTCTCTCATGCTAGCACTCCGATTATGTTTTCCCCCGTGGCCCAGCCAAAGCCACAGAAGGGTATGCAGGCCTGGACTTACTGCCCACAAAGGATGGTAAGAGCCTCCCGAAGCGCAGCAGCGGCTCCTCATTGAGCTCGGTGGAATCGTCCACAAGTTTGAAGAAGACGTCGTTGGGCTCGCTGGCGAAGCCATATGTCTCCTTAACGTTCACCTTGCGGCCGATGCCCAGGACCACGAAGAAGTAGCCCTTGCACTTGGCCCACAGGATGGCTCTCTGGGCCACCTCCAGCTCCTCGCCCCGAACCTCACCCGTCAGCATCAGCACCAGGACCTTCAGGTCCCGGGGGTTTGTCGTGCTTTCAAACACATTCTGGATAGTGTACTCAATGGTGCTGCCCAGGGCCCTGGTTCCCTGCAGCTGCCTCACTCCACGGCCCAGGAAGGCCAGCAGCTTCTCCTTGGAGCCGTAGTCTGTCAGGGACAGCTCCACCCGCGCAGGTGGTGCGCTGGCATTGCCCAGGGTCGCAGAGGGGGCGTGCTGCACCACGGCCACCCTGGCCAAGTGCTGGGAGACCCCAGGGTCAGGGCTCAGGTCCAGTTGCCTGACCACATAGCCAATGTACTTCTTCATCTCGTTGAACTGAAACAGGCTGGTGGTCTCCGAGCTGTCCAAGATGAAGGCCAGATCTATGTCTGAGTTGCTGCCCGCTGCTCTCCTGTCCCGGAAGGAAGGCCTCCAGCTGCCAAATCCACAGGATGGGTCAATGTTGCAGATGTCTAGAAGAAAGCAGGCAGCCCAGTTACTCTGTGACTCTCACAGCATCATCAAACCTGTCCAGTGTCTGAGAAATTACATCAGCCACAGAAGCGAAAAACCTATTCACATCCCATGATGTTAGAGGTGACTGGAGTTTGCTTTTCATCGCCTGGCACTCCCTAGATGAAACACATCGGTGAACTAAAACCTTTACACCATGCCATCATAGTGGCATTTAAAAATATAAAAGGGAGCTGAGCATGGTGGTACATGCCTGTCATCCTAGCTGAGGAGGTAATCCGGGAGGCTGAGGCAGGAGGCTGGCAAGCTTGAGCCCAGCCTGGGCAACTTAGTGAGTTTGTGAGACCCTGTCTCAGAATAAAAAATTAGGGCTGTAACGTTAAGTGAAATAAACTAGACACACAAGCATGGTTTCTCTCACATGAGAGACCCAAAGTATACATAAATTAAACAACAAAATAAAAGATAGACAGGGTGGAAGACAGAAAGAGATCTGTTGCCAATGGGAAGGGGACAGAAGTGGAAGGAGAGAAAGGGGGTGCAGAAAGAACGAAGACAAACTCTATGTGCTCCCCAACTTCCTACCAGAGTGGAATGCACTGTGAACATGGGCTAATAAAAATTAAAATAAAAAATACATTTTAAAAAGGAGCTGGGTGTGGTGGTGCACACCTGTAATCCCAGCAGTCAGGAGGCTGAGGCAGGATGATTGTGGTGAGTTTGAGACCAGCCTAAGGTATAAAGTGAGCTCAAGGCCAGCCTGGACTGCATAGCAAGACCCCTGCCTCAAAAAGACAAAAAAAAAAAAAAAAGTAAAAGGGCCGAGTGTGAAAGCCCCATGGGTTCAGTCCCAAGTAGCAATCCATCCATCAATAAAATTTTTCAAAAAATAAAAAAGGAAACATCACTCAAGTTCCTTGCCACTATAGGAAGAAAAGTACTCTAAAATGTCATTCAAGCCAAACACTGTAACTCTCACCGTTCTCCCCTGCTGCCTAGAAGACAAACTATGTCCCATCCACAGGACATTCTGTTTTGGGGGTATCCAACCCAAACATGGAAGCTATTCAGGCCACGCTCATGCCGGTAAATGTGAGCCTCTGTGTCTCCGTGTAACCAAAGCTCTCTGGACAGATCAGAGCCTTCCCACTAGTGCCCCCCTAGAGAGGTCACACTTTGTGACTGCCGTTGGACAGACGTCCCCCCATCCTGGCCAGCGGACCCTACCCAAGCACACGTGACACGTGAGGACATTCTTCAGGAAGTTGCTGAGGTCGTTCCTCGCAGGCAGGACGAGCACGTGCCCCACCGCCGTGTTGTTGATCTGGTATGAACAAGAGGACAAGCCAGGGTGACCACGCAGCTGGGGAACAAGCCCCAGTCCCTCACGCCAGCCTCGCAGGCTCAGGACCACCCCTAGGGCTGCAGGCAAGAGGGGAGGTGCTGGAGTTTTGTAAAAGGAAGCCAGGCTTTGTTCTAAGCTGGATTCAAATCCCATCTGGCACTTTCTGCTGGGGCCAGGCCAAAGTGATGTGACCTGTCTTGGCTTCCACTATCTCAGGCTATAGAATGGGAATGGTGGCCTCTTCCTGATGGGCTCGTTTGGAGAATTAGATCAGACAGCTTTTATAAAGGTTCCCTGCATCCTCCAGCTAATGTAGGGATGTAAACACGATGGCCATTTTCAGCCATAAAAGCAGCTGCATGATTGCGTTGAGACAGCAGCCACTTGGGTGAGGACATGGACACCTGCCCACCGCAGCGGCCAGCCCTCACTTGATGAATGACTGATCTCAGTGCGTGCAGGGTGGGTGAAGGAATGCATTAAGAATGACGTTCACTTCTGGTCTCTTGGCCTGCACAAGGGAAGATAGAGACCGGCCCTGCCCAGAAGCACACTGAGGGTGGCCTGAGCTAGACCTGGGCTCCTAGGCCCAGTCTCCAGTCTCCAGCCTCGCCTGTGGTTTGGCAGAACAGGCAGTGACCATTGCCCATCTGCCTCTTGCTGACACAGCAGCAATAAAGGCACAGAATGCCCTGTTTGGAAAGAAGACATCAGAGACTGTGTCGTACCAGCCTCAACCCACAGGACAGAAGCTGCAGGGCTGGGAAAGGGCGGTGGACAGGGAGCAGAGGTCCCACTCTGGGCTGGGACTGCTACCCTGCAAACCTGCTGCCCACCAGAGGTGTATGCTGGGGGTCCTAAGGGCCTCACTGAGTGGGAAGATGGGGGGGTATTCAGAGTTGGGGGCCCAGGGCACCTCCTCACGTGAACCCCGTGTTAACTTCATGGTCTTCTCACCCATCAGGCAAAGCTAAAGGGAAAACTCAGACACCTGTTCCAGGAAACACACACCCAGGCCGGGCTCACACATAGTTCACGGGCCCCAAGGGAGATACCTGGGCCATTTCCACCCTCCAGGCCTCATGAAGAGGCAAAGAAGCCCCGCCACAGAACAGGGCAGCGAGAGACACCAGCACCCAGATGCGAGCCCGCTGCAAAAGCATCACCAGCCAGAGCTGGGAGCCAGAGAGCGGAAGTCGCAGGCATCTGGATTGGCATCTGACCCAGTGCCATAGCCATGGTTCACAGAGGAGGTCAAGAGACGGTCTCAGCCAGCTTGGCCCCATAGGGACCTTTTAGAGCTGGGGACCTGCTCCTGTGAGGAGAGTGCAATGTGACTAAGGACTTTCCCTCTAGGGGACAAAGATGAGGGGCAGGCGACAGAAGCAGAGGCCACACCTGCAGAGCATTGACGAGCGGCCGGTCCTCCTGGCTGGTGAGGAACAGAGGCGTGATACCCGCATCCGACAGCTTGAGCACGGCCTCGCGCAGCTGAGGGGTGGCCCTTGTCGGCCTGTTGCTGAAGAAGACGGCCACCTTCCGCATCAGGAATCCACTCCGCACCCGCTTGAATGTGTTCCTGGCCACGAAGGACATGGCAGTCTCCAGGCTCTGCTGCTTGGACGTCAGGGCCACCTGCAGGTTCTTAATGCTGTCCAGCAGGGCCGACTTCCTCCTGGAGTCCGCAAACCGGATCTCTGTGGTCACCTCGTTGTTGTAGGTGACCACGGCCACACGGGCCCCTCTGGGGCAGTTGCTCTCAGCAATGGTCAGGTTGCCCACGATGCTCAGGACCATGTCACGCATGCGGCTGAAGATGTCCTGGGTGACGCCCTCTGAGGTGTCCAGGGCAAAGGCGAGCTCCGTGGGGAAGACAGGACACTCCAGGGGCCCTGTGGGAAGGGGTGACAGAGGCCCACCTCACTCCCGGGGAAGGGTCTTTCTTTTCTGAGGACCAAGCCAACCCACGGAGGTAAACTTACCATAGCAGCAGGCTGCAAAGGAAACAGAGGAAAAGGTAAGCCACACAGCAACTGTGCAAAGGCATCAACTCTGGTAGGGGATGGCAGGAACCGGGTACTTACGGCATTTATCCTTGATGCTTTGGATGAGCGCACATTGCTGTAAAAGAAAACAAAACAGCATGTAAGGACTGCACACACAGGGCTGACAAGACAGCGGGTCACTCGGGACACATGCAACTTACATCGATGGAGTCGCCGCGGTTGCCCTTGTGACCCTGTGAAACCAACAGGAAAATGCTGAGTCAGGAGGCCGAACACATGCCACAGAAATGTAAGGACCCCGTCACCCACTGCCCGGGTGGGGGAGAGGTGGCATGGAGCCTGAACCCAGGGGCCGTACACGGAGCCACTTCCCAGCCCTTCTTATTTTTTATTTTGACAAAGAGTCTCAAAAAGGCACTAAACTGCCCAGGCTGGAATGGAATTTTGTGAATCTTCTTGCTCCAGACTCCCAGAAAGTAGGATCACAGGCATGCACTGTAAATCAGACACCAGAGCTTGAGCCTGGACCCACTTCCAAGAGCAGGGTGTCTCATGCGTGTGTCCCACAGAAGCCTTGTCTGTCACCTCCATGTAGAAAGTACCCCCTCTCAACTGTCCATCTCCCCACACAGCCAGTCCTGCCTCCCCTCACCGGAAGGTAGCACTCACACCCCTGACTCGTCCTGGTTCAGCCAAAGGAATCACATCCACTTTCTCTTTAGGACTGTCCAACTCTGGGGTCACCCTGTCCCTTCTCCTCTGCATCTCACTCCTCCCAACGCAAAAACAGTCAAATAAGGAGACAAAGACTCTGACCATTAGATTCCCCTCCCCCCCACCCACCCCACCCCACCTCAGCTCCATGCAGAAGCCAGGCCAGCGGTCTTAGGCTGAGAATCAGCAGCAGCCTGGGGGTTTATAGACTCAAGGAAGCAGCCCCTCCCAGGGGAGATCTAACTATCCCTCCACGAGCCATAAGCAAGAGGCACAAAGGTTTGCCCTCGATGGTTTCTTCTCTACACAAATCTCTGCCAGGAAATTCTGAAAGCAAACTAAACGTTCCTGGGACCCCAGAGTACCACAGGAAACATCTGCATCATCTGTTAATGGTTCTGGGAGCAAACCAGGGCCTCGCACATGGTCAGCACATGCTCTGCCCCTGAACAAATTCCCTGGCCCTTCGACACACTTTTCAAAAGTTTCCTGGGACTGCAAGACTCAAAAGGTCTTTTCTCAGTTCTGATATGAGAAGGAAAGTGGTTTAAGAAGAAAAGGAAGGAGGAGGAGGAGAAAGAAGAAGAAGAGAAAGAGGAAGAAGAAAAAGAAAGAGGGGGAGGAAGGAAGAGAAAAAACAACAAAAACACACCACAGCTTCATTGGGTGGGCAAGGGTTTTCAGGAACCATGAACAAAGTACTCAGCCCCCACCCACCACCCCTAGTGGCTCAGATGGAACTGGGCAGATACTCACAGATGGCCCTGGATAGCCAGGGTCTCCCTTCTGTCCAACTATCCCAGGAGGTCCTGAATTTCCCTGCAGGGGTAAAAGAGGAAACTCACTGAGTCCTGCAGGCAACAGGCAGGGAAGAGGGTCCTGTCCGGAGTCCCCCCTCCTCTAGAAGAAACCTCTCACTCCAGAGGAGCTCACTTGTCTCCAGAATTCAACAGTAAGGACAAACAACTTCAGTGACACAGATGCAAGCCCCCCACAACTTGGTTCTCCCACAAGTTGCCCGGCCCCCGAAAGTAGGATGACCAGTGACTGCCCAAGGGAATTGGCACCTGGTGGGGAACCAGATTCTTGGAGTAAGTGACTGGCTTGACTGTCTTCAGCAATTGCAAGCACAGGATAATTATGATTAGTGTTTACCTGTATTGCAAACTTTAAATAGGTCTTCGAGATGTTTACCTTGATTCGTAACAAGATTTGCTAATCAAGACCCAGGGCAAGCTCAAGATGGCTAATGAACGTTCACAGATGAAATCCCAAAGGAAGGGCAGCTAACAGAGGAGGTCTCATTGGCCAGGGAAGCCTGTGGGCAACCTGTGCACCCATGATGTCCTTCACACTTAGTCTGGGTAGTTCGGCCAGCATGACAGCACAGAGTCCCATTAGTCACTCCGCCTGAGACCTGCGTCTCCCCATGTCATGCTGGGGGGACCTGTGGACTAGCGACTCTTGAGTTGTGCTACATGAAGGGGTTCTCAGAGGACTCCATGAGAAGCACAGCTGAAGAAAATAACCCCAGCGTGATGCAAGGACAGTGGCCCTGGCCTTGGGACCTTTCCCCTCACACTGCTTTGTCACTGGCTGGAAAGGGGAGAAGAATTCATTGTCCAGGGCTCAGTGGCCTGCAGCCTTACCCTTCGCCCTCTGATGCCTTTGGGTCCTGGTCCTCCATCCGCTCCAGGTTCACCAGGTGTACCCTGCCAAGACAACCAAGATGTGGCCCATGAACTCTGGAACAGAAGGTCCCAGGGAGCCCCTGGCAAGGTCCAGGGTGCGTCAGCCAGGGGAACAGGGGCCCACTGAGCTGCTTCCCTGGGTTGCCGGGGGGCGGGGGGGAGCGTTGCACACAGCTGGAGTTTATTTAATGGGGGATGACAGGGTCATACAGTTGACAGAAGCACTTTACAGCTTGCAAAGATCTTTTTCTTGCAGTTTTACCCCATTTAAACCTTTGGGAATCATAACAAATGTGCACTGTCACCTCCATTTGACAAAACAGGGGGCATCGTGGAGAGGGTGGGGTGTTCTCCAGAGTGGCCCAGAGTAAAGATGTCCGCTTTTTAGATGTGGACACAACAGTCTGACACACACATGCGATGTCCCCCCACCTGGGAAACATTTACCTTTGGCCCTGGGTATCCCGGGAATCCTCTTTCTCCCTGTAAGAGATACATATACACAATTCTGTTTTTGGTACCAATCTAAAATCATCTAAAATTAAATGGATTTTATAAGAAACAACCTCTGTGGAATCATCAGTACAATATAGAGCATTACTAAAATATAATAGTATTTCAAGAAATCATTCTCCAAAACTACGAGGCACCAGAAGTTGTCCTGGGAGCCACCAGGCGAGGGGAGCTCTGTGGGAAGTCTGGGCAGTATCATACCTTTTTGCCTCTGCGACCTTCGCTGCCCACTCCGTCTCGCCCATCGTCTCCCTAGGGGAGGGAAGACAGCGTGACTGTGGGTCACTGTCAGGCACACCATTGCCCTAGGCAGACAGCCCTCGGGTCCCCGAGGAGTGTCCACACCTAGGTCCAAGGACATCTCCCAGCCCCACCCCACCCCCCAGACACTAAGCATGGTGCAGCTGTAGGTGGCAGGGGCCCAGGGTGCCGTTCGCAGCAGCCCGAGGAGCTGGGGGCTACAAATACAAAGCACAGTTCCCCACCTTTATCCTCCCCAGCAGTGCAGCACTGTAGGAGCAGGGCTGGACCATGGCCCTGGTATATTACAAGATGCAGCTTCCTACCTGCCCCTTCCATCCCTTTCTGTAGAGCCCCTAGGCACCTGTCCCCTTACCGTCTCCCCACGAGGGCCTGGGTTCCCCAGTCCTCCCTTGGGTCCTGGATCTCCGGGCTCACCCTAGATGCAAGAAACAAGGGAAGACCGTGTGAGTTGGGGCAGGTTCACCTCAATCACAGGTCCCAGTGCTGCCGGAGAGCTGGCCTGGAGGGCTGCAGGCCATGGTCACCACTGTTTAGGACCAGATGAGATGATTTTGCTCCATCACAATACACTGGGCACAGAAAGACAAAGACCATGCCTTCCCACTGCTCTGCGGAGGCTGAGGAAACAGCTGTGTCTCGGAGCAGAGTGTCAAATGGTGGCCACAGAGGCCGGGAAGGCAGGAGTGGATAAGGCAAATTGCAGCAGAGGGCCGAGTCCTCGCGTTCACAATGAGGGACTGTAGTAGTGTAGTTCACAGCAACGTATTTCTATCTCTATAACTAGAGAAGAGGAGTGCACAAGATGCCAGCACAAAAAAAACACTAATGCCCCTCCCCTGGGTCATTAAGCACAATGTACCCATACTGGTGCATCGCACAGCAGCTCACAAACGCACACAGCTGTCATGTGTTGGTTTAAATTAATAAATACGTGTAGGTTCCGACTGCAGCATTCACACATGGGCTTCAGGAGGGAACCCGGGGAGGTGTATGTTCGTCCCTTCCTGGCCTGGGGACGGGCTGAGACACAAGAACCCGGGAAGAGGCGGCAGGGAAGGTGGAACCCAGAACTCGAGGCTGGGTTCTTGCCAGGTCACATGGACTCTTGCCAGGTCACACGGACACATTCATTGGCTGGGAAAACACTGTCTTTCCAGACTGGCAGTAAGTGATAAGGCTGAAGTCAGCAGGTCCTCAGCTCACTGGTGTCTCCAGGAGAAAGACCAGTCTGTGGCTGATCTCCTCCCGGTCAGCAGAGCTTCGTGTGACACGCAATGCACGAGGCACTGCCCTGCAGCTCTGGGAGTCAGAGGAGAGCTCTGTGTGCTGGCCGAGCCAAGGCAGCGGGTTCTGAAAGGGAGAGAGCCAGCCTGGTTCCTGCCCCCTGGTGGGCAGCTGAAGCAGGGATGAGCAGCCCAGGGGCAGGATGTGCAGACTAAGCCCACAGCGTGACAAGCGAGGAGGAGGTGACGCACACACCTGGCCAGAGCCTGTCCTCCGAAGAGTTCCCCATCCCCATTCAGACAAACCTTCCTTCCCAAGGGACCGGCTCTGCCTCGTTCTCCGGGAGCTCCGACAATTCCTCCACCTCCCTGCAGCACAGGATAGGAAATGAGTCACTGGGTGCTCATTGGCCCAAGCCAAAGGGTCCCTGGATGCCCCCAGCTCCACCCTGCATGGAGGCCAGAGCCCCCAAGGGCCAACGACTGTGCTGAGCACAGGTTGCAGTGCCTGGTGCTATGGACTCAAACACAGATGTACCTGGAAACGTCTGCATAGACACAGGGTACAAGCACCAGCTCTCAGGGCAGCTTTGCACACGCTCACTTGTGCCACTGTTACTCAGAGACACACACATGTGGTTCCCTGCTAGATGACGGGGCCCTGGGCTCCTGTGGCTTTGTTTCCCCTACTGTTCTACACCTCCCACCCCCACCCCCATGAACAGCAGATGTGTCTGGATTCAGAGATGCTTCTTGTGGGAATGAATACATCAGTTTCCAGATGGGCACAGCCCCCACAGCCCAACAAGGTCCCTAAAATAGGTGGTGGAAATCGCCAACAAAGCAAAGCTTCTCAGGCTTGAAGAGCTTTGCACCCAGGTCAATTTAAATTTCCAGGTAGCTAAAAGCCAAATGTAAAAAACAACTGCAGAAAGCTTAACAGTAGGTGTTGGTAACAGCTACTTACCAGCTGTGGAGCCCTGGAAGGGTTTTCTAAGCAAATAGCAGCTTCCCAAAGATCCCATCCACAGAGGTGCACTGTGCAAGCCACAGACCCACGGGTGGGCGATTTTCTAGTCATAGTTATATCCCTAACATATAATGGGGGCGTCTCTAGGGGGTCAATGAGAAATGCTCTAAACAACCTCAGAGTTCTAGTCAGATATCAGCAGGTCCATCCTAAGACTTCTGGGACTAGGCTCTTGCTTCCTTTGTTAACCCCCAGGGAGCAGGCTACTTTTGGAAGGAATAGCATTGGGACCTAGAAGCCACCAGAGCACAAGAAATGGAGTCTCTTACGACCTCAGGGTCCCTGGGAGGACTGGGTTACCTGGGGCTGAGAGAGACTAAGGTTATGGGTTTGTCTACAACACCCCAGAAGTCTCAGCCTGCTCAGTGCTGTGCTATACTCAGCTAACAGAGGGTCAGCTACCAGGGACTTACCCGCGGTCCAGGGATGCCTTGTTCCCCACTCAGACCTGGAGGACCGATGAGGCCAGGGGGGCCCTGCAGAGTGAAAGATCACACGGTAAGTGCCACAGAGCAGGCTCTGTGCCAAGAGCCGCACAGCGATGCCTCCACTGGAGGGAGACAGGCCAGAGCCCAGCAACCGACAAATGTACAAACAGTGCGATTACAATGTGGAATACGATGCAGCCAGCAAGAGGTTCTGACTGAGGCCACAATGGGCTGACTCTCATAGCATCACCCTCAGCGAAAGCAGCCAAACACAGAGGCCACCTGTTAATGATTCCTTGGGTAAGATGTCCAGGCAAGTCTATCAAGATATAAAAATAAATGGTGACCAGGGCCTGGGGTAGAGGGCAATGGGGAGTGCTGTGAAATGTGTACAGAGTCACCTGCAAGGCAGCATTGTGAGTGGGTTACCCACACCAAACTGCTCGGCTTAAAATGGCTAATGTTATAGGAACACCTCTTGACTAACAAAAGATTACCAGGAAACCTAGGAAGTTCTCCCAAGGCATGCAGCCATGCGGCAGGTACTGACCTGTGCTCCTCTGGTGCCCTGCTCTCCCGGGAAGCCAGCCTGGCCAGGACCGCCCCTGTTGCCCTTGGAGACAAAGAAGATTCGGAAGGTAAGGATGCTGAAGACCAGCCTCGCCTCTGTGCCCCACAGTTGATTCTGGCCCAGGGAGATGCTCAGGGAGACTCAGCCTTCCCAGGGTCCCAGGAGAAGGACACACGGACCCCAGGGCACGACAGCACCCACAGGGTAGCCAGTTCTTGACCTTGCCTCACCTCCTACTCAGGGCAGCTCTTTCTGCCTCAGCCTGTCCCGCCCTAGCCAGAAGTCTAGCCTAGCAGGCACATGGGGGAAAGACACCCAGGACACCACCTGCCGGCCACCTCCCTTGCTCTGCCTCATACAGCTCATTTATCAAGACCTTCGAAAGGGGCTAGGCTGGGGCTTATGCAGCCAAGTGGGGACACCTGGAGACTCTATCGCGACCCCTAAGGGCTCACCTTAGCTCCTGAGGGTCCCCTTCGGCCAAAGCCACCCTGTGAAAGAAGCACACACACAGTAAGGGGGACCTGGCAACGCTGGTGCAGAGCTTGGGCTCTCCCAGACTCACTCGAGGACCCCTTCTCCGCTCCTGCCCACAATTACTGCCAGGATCCAGTGACTATGCCCAGGCAGCCGAGGGCCTGGCCGATCAACTGCCCTCCCTCTACCCTCAACTCTGGGCATTTTGCTCCCATGATACTCCTGCTAACAGCACAGATGGAGTTTCTGAGAACCACTCCAGACCCGCCAAGCAAAACTCCCACTTCTGGCTGCATGCACTCAGCCAGTGTCCATGAGGAATGGGAGCCCGGAATGCCAGCCGGAATGCCAGCCGGCCTGCTCTCTGCCCGGGGCTCCAACTGTGGGGGAGGGAGCCAACACGTCCATGAGTGTGGAAAGGAGCCCCAAATCCTCCGAGCTACCCTTGTCAAGCACAGCACACATTCCCTCAAGCGGAGCATCCGAGACACACAGGCTCGAGCCTTAGTGCCCTGTGTGCTGAGCTCAGGGTCCAGACTTGCTGGGCATGGGGTTCCTCAAAGCTGCAGAAGTGACCTAAATTCCCACATGTGGGCTTCCCCAGGCAGCAGCTGGTGACATCCCATCCCTGGAGCATCCCCTGGGGTGTGGCAGTCTGGGGGGACAGAGCTCATGAATGCCCTACACGGTCTTTGTAAGCTGAGGGGCTGTGCTCCAGTGCGTGGAGTGCTGGTGCCACACAGGGTCCTCTCCTGTAGTGACATCAGGACCAGCCCCTCCCAAAAACAATGTCCTAAAGGGTGATCAGATTCCCCTACTGCACAGCGCTTCATTGTCAAGGCCACAGGCTGTGTGGAGACTCAAAAGGAGTGACATCACTGGGAGAAGGGGGTGACCTTTCAACTCAGCCCACACCTGGCACAGTGGGGTCCCCAGGGAAGGGACGGGAGAGCTCTCTATCCTCAACCTGCTGCAGATCTGCCCCATGCTCCATTCCCTGCTTAATAAGCCCCTGAACAGAAGTTAGGAAACCCCTCACTCCAAATTCAAACCTGTCTCCACTTCACGCTTGGGACCAAAACCCACTGCCCACACTACTGCATTTGGCACTGTGTGCAGCCGGGGTCTAGCTGGGCTCTCACTCCAAGTGGTGACAACACAGGGCCACCATGGAGGAGGATGTCCTGACTACTTTCCCACCGCGGGGTTCTGCCGTGCCACGCACAGTAATGTGCAAATGTTTCCAGGTTTGCTGATGAATTTAGGAGTACGGTGAGGTCCCTAGTCATTCAATTACTGGGTAGTCACCCTCTGGAATACCCCTGGCCTCAAGGCACCTTTGATCCTCAGCTTTGAGGGCTTGGACAGGTCCCCATCCTTCAGAAAACAGGTGAGGCCAGCCTCTCAGCCCCCCAGGCTGTGTGCAGCTTTGTGTCCCATTCGTTTCTGAGTGCAGACCTGCCTGGGCCTCCCCACTTCCCAACCTCCTCCTGGGGCTACAACCTGCCCCACATGGGAACCCCCACGCCCAATGACAAGAGCCCTTTGCCCTGTACCCCTGCGCACTGCAAGCTTTAAGATGGCCTCATAAAAGCCTTCCTCTGGCTTCAGGGTCTCCCCACTGAGACTCCTTGATGAGGTGCCAAGCCATGCATATTCCAGAAATCAAGATCTTGTGCCAGCCTTTCAACTAAGATCAAGTAAGAAACATGTGAAGGAACAGAGCATGCCTGGACTCCGTGAATGTGTGTGACAATAAACCCAAGCTCCTATGAAAACAGCAAACACCCAGGCCGTGCGCCTTCCTGCCCTTTGTACCAATCCCCAGCTTTAGGATTTCTGCTTGACTATTTAAAATGTTTAGTGAGGTAAAACATGGCCAAACACTTGAAAGCCGCAAAGCTATTTTCCAAAGCACCAGTTTGGTACTGTTTTTTTTTCAAAGATTGTGAGATGGGGGAAGAAGGACAGAGAGAAGGCAGAGTAAATTATAACGAAAAATCTCACGGGCAGCAAGCTTTAGGTCCACATCTCACCCTTCGCCTTCCACCTGGGATGACAAAGCTCAAGGACTCTGGTGCTGCCAGCACTGCGCTCTGGGACCTCACAGCTTCCGGAACCAAGAGCCACGTGAGTCGCTTGGTGTCCGAGCAGCGCTTGCCTGGAGTCCAAGGCCCTGGGGTCCTTCCCCAGGAGCACCAAGGCACCACAGATACTGCTCATTCCAAATGACCCAGTATTTCCCGTCACACCTAGCCCTGTCTGGCAGACAAGGCATTTGTTTTGAGTCCCCTGCTCCTGAGAGTACTCACGCTCTTTCCAGGTTCTCCGGGACTTCCTGACACGCCATCTCTCCCAGGGAGACCCTGTGGGGCAGAAAACCTGACCTAGGGCACTGCATTGAGAGGGCCAGTTTCCAGGGGAAGCCCTGCTGCAGGACTGGGGACCCTGAGCATTCCCACCTCTGCAAGCTGTGGGGGGCCAGCACTTCCAGTGTGGAAGGTCCTAGGTTCCAGCCCCTTCCCACACACCCGTCCACTCCCAAGGACCCTGTGGTCCCCTGCGGCTTGGCTGAGAGGCCAGCACGAGCTTCCCAGCCCTGAGCAAGGGGGCATAGTGCTGTACCATGGGGCCAATGTCGCCGGTCTCTCCTTTGGGTCCTTTCTGCTGGCTGTCCAGTCCTGAGTCACCCTGAAAATGACATAGCAGGGAAAGAGCCACATGTGGTGGGAACACCACTGCCACTGGGTGGGGAGCCCAGAAAATGAGTGACAAGGTCAGGACGGGCAGCACCCGAAGCCATACCCTACAAAGCCCAGCCCCAGCCCATTCTGACAGAGCCCAGTGAGGGGTCAGCAAACTACACCAATGCCCAGGAGGAGGGTGCACCGGGCCCACCCTGGCTTCCCCTGACACAAGGCTGGAGTTTGCTTAATGGGATTACAGAGTCATTAATGAATTAATTAATCTTTGAGATAGAATCTTGCTATGTAGCTCAGGCTGGACTCAAACTCTGTGGAGATCCTCATGCCTCAGCCTCCCAAGGGCTGAGATGACAGTGGGGCACCACCATAGCCACCTTTCACAGAGTCATTCAGGAGGCCCCAAGCCACAAAAGGTTCTCTTTCCCAGAAGCCAGCCCAGGGAAAGATTCCTGAGATGGCTTTCCCATGACTTGATTTGCAAATGTTGGCCTTTGGAGCCAGAAAACAAGCCCACCTCTGGTGCCCCAGAATCATGAGAAAAGAGCAGGGTGTGGGTTTATCAACACAGGTTAAAGTAAGCAGAGCAAAATTCCTGCTTTGTCTTTGTCTCTCATGACTCTTCCTAAACCAGACCCCTTCGAGTCTGGTCACCAAGAAGCACATTGGCCTTACCGGGTCACCTCGGATGCCCACATCTCCTCTCGCTCCTTTATCTCCTGTAGGTCCTTTGTCACCCTAAATAAAGTAGGTTCGAGGGAGTTAAAGGCTAGATGTGCTTATCTGATCCTCACCCTGAGTGCAGATAGCAAAGCTAGGCTGAGTAACAGGGCAGTGTCTATTTTATTCATTCGAAGAGCAGCTGAGATACTTTACTTAACCTGGATCCCCTCACAACAGCATTTTACCAACTCCAGCCCTCAGGTTATACATCAGGTCTGCAGGCTCCGTCAACAAATTCATTGGCTTGCCTTGAAAATCACACTCTGATTCTTCAGTCATACATAGAACACTGATCAAGCCCTCCTTTGTCACAAAGGTAAAGCCACTTCCAGCTGTGCATGATTTTCTCAGTTAACCTACAAGTATTTCGTGGGGATTCACTGTGTGCCCACAGACTGTGGGATTTACTTAGAATAAAACAAACTCAGCCCTGGCCCTGTGGGACACACTGCACAGAGCAGAAAAGACCAGGACAGGTGTGGAAGCCAGCAAGGGACACGGGGGAGGTCACAGGGGCACCTGGAGGGGTCAAGGAGGCTGCCTGAAGGAAGTAAGCAAAACGCACTGGCGTGAAGGAGAAGTAGAGACACCTACCCTCCGTCCAGGGTTTCCCTTCTCTCCTGAAGTCCCAGGTAGCCCCTTGTCTCCCTGCCAAAGACAAAGAGAAGTGATCATGCCTAGCACAGCTCTGGCCGCAGACCGAGCTGCCTGCCACTGCTGTCTTTGGGTCCAGAGGCGCTTGGCTTGGAGAAAGGAGGGCCACTCACGTCCTCGCCGTCCAGCCCGTCCAGCCCGATCTCACCAAGTTCACCCTGGAAGAAAGAAGGCAGACAGGTGAGTGAGGACACAGAGCCAGAGGAGGAGATTTGAATTCAATTTAAAAACCAAAATGAGCTAGAATACCTTCTCTCCTGGGAAACCTCGAGAACCCTGGAAGAAAGAGGACAGGGAAGACATTAGTCCCTCCTGCACAGGGGTCCCTCAGGGCATAAGGGACCAAGGGCTGAACACCCTGTGCCTCAGCTGCATGATTTGAGACTCGCTTTTCTATCTCCAGCAGTCACCATCACCAACACAGGACGTCAGAAGTTGATCTGTCTGAAACTGAATATCTGGGATGGGTAGCGGGAGTGACTCCAGCAACCAAGCACAGGGGCTCAGGCTGAAGGCCAGCATTCTCACTTTGTGGGTGACAGTCTTTCCCTTCAGCACCTGCTCTAACTCAGCCCGTTCTCGCCAGAATCCACACTGTCACTGCTGCTCCCTGCTCCTCCTCCCAGGGCCAGGCCCAAGGGTACCCAGCCAGCACCCAGTGACCTGGGACTGTTTCCTGGCTGCCACAACTTCCCAAGGAGCCCCAGTCCAGCTGCACTGCCCTCCCCGAAGCGCCCTCCTCGGAGTCAACCCCACCGGTCCAATGTACCTTCACTCCTCTCTGGCCTGGGCAGCCCTGGAAGCCCTGAGTGCCATTCACACCAGGTGGACCTCGCTCACCCTGTGGGGAAACAGAGGCATTGGCAGCTGAAGCTCTCAGAGCCTGGGGCCCCAGCCCCTGGCCTGCCAAGGACCAGGGCTCCCTGGGCACAGCAGACTCCAGCAGGTCACCCAGGATCCCTTAGTGCACGATATTGGGCTGCTGGACCCCACTGAAGGCCTGTCAGCCTGATCACAGCTCTGTGTGGCCTTGGCTCCCAGCTGCCCAGTGGGCCAGGCCCAGCCCTGACACCCACATCCCAGCTGGGCATGGAGACCTCAGGGGCTCTCCCAGGACACCATCATCCCCTTCAAAGCAGGACCCTGTGTTAGGGTCCCTAAGCCTCTCAGATCCATGATTGTCCCAGTCCTGCTCCCAAAAGCCCTGCTGCTGGCCCTTCCCTTCCTCCCCTGGGCCCCTTGGAAGTGACATGTGATGCAGGCCAGGTCACAACTCTAGGGGAGCTGTCCCCAGAGCAGGTGACCCACAGCCCAAAGAACTGGACTGAGGAGAACACATTTAACCACCTGCCACCACACAAGACCAAGAAACATACCCCTCGGTCCCACACCAGCACCCCCAGATTGTCCTATGTCCCAAAGCATCCCCACCTAAGGAAAGTTGATAAGGGAGTTGCTGTCCAGTTTTCTCCCAGAAGGAAAGCTGAGGACCGGGGCCACCACCATCCACTGTGCACTGGGCAGGGGTTTCTGGAATAAGCAGCGCGGCTGTACTTACCGGTCCGCCCTCGTCACCTGGGTAACCCCGGTAGCCGTCTTCCCCTGAGATGCCCTGAAACAGCACACGGGGGCCTGTGTGAGCCCTCTGTTCTGCACCGAATGCCTCTGCTGTCCTCTTCCTTGGACAGAGCCAGGTGGACAGTTATCACAGCCCAGGGTGCCCCTGTCTCCATGTGACTGCTCTTGTGACAGGAGCTCCCAGGCTCAGGCTTGCTTGGGAAGCCTACTGCTCCCCACCCAGAAACAAACACTGAAGCCCTGCTGGCCCCCTGTGAAACTGCCAGCCCCCAAGGCCCCTGGTTCAAGAGGATTTTCCCAAAAGAGGAGCCCATATGTTAAGGAACACATCATCACTCCACGGAGAGGACAATGTGACAGACCCATGAGTCTTCCTGTGCCATGTCCAAGAGACAGTCTACAATTGGGGGACAGGCTGATCAGGGTGGGGGCCAAGGATGTGCTCTGGGCAATGCATGTTATGGGCCACACCCTGGATCCCCTGTTCTCCAGGAGGGAACCTCCTTGCTCCACGTTGGAGAAGTGACCTGGTTGAAGCAGTCCCCTAACACCTAACCTCAGCCAGCAGAAGAGGGTACAAGCACCATACCTTTGGCCCGATGCTACCAATGGGCCCTCGGTCTCCTCTTTCTCCGGAGCATTTGCACGGAACCCCACAGCAGGCTCTCTCAGCAACATTGTCCTGCCAGGATGGAAAAGAGGGCACGTTCAGAGCTCAAGAAAGCCCACCAAGAACCAGCCATGTGCACTGGAAGTCACCATCTGCCACATTCAGGCTCCACAAGGTAAGGGGGAGTCACCAGGATGGTATCTCCCAAGCTGGCCCAGGCCGAGGGTCGAGGGTCAAGCTCTTGGCAATCGGGCCAGGGGTGGGAGGCAACAACGGGAAAGGAAAGAGGAACCAAAGTACCATTAACCGCATTCACCAGGGCCCCCCAAACTGGGCCTTCTTCAGAGACATTGCTGACACAGGCGGTTAGGTTTCAAATGGTAAATGTAACTTCTGTGTGTCTCGACTCTAGGGGCAAGACCTAACGAACAAATCACGGCCAGCCGAGACCTGAGATCTTTCTGAAAGAGAGCTCCATGCCAGCCACCCTGGGAGCTGGCACAGAAGCAGCCCCAGCCTGGAGTGGCCCCAAGAGGAGTAGACATGGGTGGCCTGGCCACTAAGCTGTCAGCACCACCACTCAGGGGCAGCAGTGCCTCTGACACTCACCTGGCATCCTGCACACTCCCCGCCCGCCCTTTCTAGGCAAAGTGCACACCTCGAATGTGCTTCTGTCTGCTGAGCTAATGGTGCCACTTGGGTTTTCTTGCAATTAGTTTTGTTTTTTGTTTTGGTTTGGTTTGGTTTGGTTTGGTTTTTTTTGGTACCGGGCTGGAACTCACAACCACAGGCAGGCCAGAACTGACTTGGTTGTCTACAGACACCACGTGCCACCCTCACTGATTTGGTTTATCTAAAGCGACACACACCAGCTGCTCTGCCAGCTCGTAATCCAGGTCCAGCAGGTTGAGCCGCAGGGGCCTGTCATACAGGAAACCCCGCCCGAACTCCAGATGCGCCAGCCGCTCCAGGTCAACCACACGCTCCAGGCCCACCAGGATCAGTGCGTGGACACCTGCGGGGAAATTCACAGTTAATGCGGCTCACCTGTGTACTCCAGAGACATGATATCCTCTTCCCTGACTTTTTTGAAAAGGAAAATGCAGCAAAATTTTGACTTATAATCAAACTACTGAGAGCTACCTTGAAGAGTAAGAGTATTGAACCCTTGCGCTCCTCTAGGTAATTATTTTCAATGTGAACTCTAAAGTGTTACTATAAACCCAGGAAGTGGAGTCCATGGAATATCTTCAAACTAAATTCTCAAACTCTGGCCCTACATCACCAGGTCAGCAGTGGGGAGAAATGAAAACCTAACTCCTCCAAAGTCAGGAAAGCACAATCCCATCTCCAAAGCTTGAGAAAATTATCAAATAAATTGGATGGTCTTGTAATAAATTGTGATCTATGAATTCCTAAGGTTCTGCTGTTGGCACCCACTCCAAGGCACATGAGCATCTCCTAACAGGCATCTCATGTTACCTCACATTTGTCAGTCTGCTTAGTTATATTATTTACATGTATCATAGTTTAAGTGTTGTAGTGTTTTGAGGCATGAAAGCCACACACTCAAAATATAGTAGTCCCTTTTGCTAGTACATTATTTTCTAGTTCGTATGATATGACTAAATGAATCAGTGTTTGGATTCTTCTGCAAGAACGTTAGTGTGGTTTATATCCAAAACCTGGTGGACACGCTGGTGTGGTTTTGGGGAGGTGACTGGATCATGGAACTGTGATACCCACAGAAAGTTTAGTCCACTGTAGCTAACTGTGATGCTGGGTGCAGAGTCTGGTGGGAGGAAGTGGTTTATCTCTCTTCCACTCCTTTTAGCTCTGCTTTCTGAACGCTGTGACATGAGGTGCTCTCCTCAGCTCCTCCGCCAGGCCCTCCCTGCCTTGGAGCCAGCCAACTATGAACTGAACCTCTACAAACCATGAGCCCAAACAAACCTTTTCTCATTTCCCTAAGGCGGGTATCAGGTATTTTGTCCCCAACATAAGAAAAGTGACTAAAATAAGTATCATGCATTCTCAAAGTCCCACCATCTGGTCGGGTCTTTGAACCCACACACCTGCACCAGGGCTTGGGAACAAAGCTGTCTGCATTCATAAGGAAAAATCACCAGCATCCCAAAGCCCCAAGCAGGCATAAAAGCCCAAGGAGCTGAGGATGGTATCCTCCAGCAGAAGCTGTCCCCACCTAGGACTCCCACAAAGCGGCCTCTGCAGAGCAGCAAGCCCTGCCTCACCGAGGCCAGCACCGTGTGCCTGGGAACCTGGGTACCTACCTTCCTCTCGGAGCGCCTCCGAAGCTCTGTGCAGATCTGCCAGGTCTCCGTCTGCGCCATCAGTGAAATGGATGACCACCTGCAAACCAAAGAGCAGTGAAGATTGGGCTCAGACCAAAAGGAAGAGCACATATGCTGAAAGGGAACCAAGAGGGGTTTGGAGTTCAAATTCCTCATTCTGTGACTGAGAAACTGAAGGCCACAATCAAGGCAATTGTGTACTAAGTGAGGCACAAAATAAATGGGTATGTCTTAGGGTTTGATTTATTTTTGAATAAGCAACAATGAGAATGAAAACAGTTTATCTCCTTCTCATTTTTATGAGTCATGATTTCTCATAAATACATGTACAATATGGTGCATCTGTCCTGAACCGTGTTCCACGCCCTTCCAAATCAATTCCTAACCTCAGCACAGAACTGCACTTGGAGAGAGGCCTTTTAAAGGGATAATTGAGGTAAATGAGGTCACTGGGTAACTCCTCACCCAATATGACAGCAGTCTTTATAAGAAGAGACCATTGGGACTCTCACATACACATGTGCACACACACACACACACACACACACACACACACACACACACATCATGGGGATGATCACAAGAGTAAGGACAGCTATTTGCAAGCCAAGGACACAGACTCAGAGGAAGCCAGCCCTGCTGACCCAGTGACATCAGATCTCCAGCCCCAGCACCATGAGGAGATCAAGATCTCAGCCCTGGTCTGTGACACAGTTGTGTGTGACAGTCCCAGTGAATTGACACAGCACATGTGCACACAATGCACGTGTGTGTGCATGTGCACGAACAGAGAGGGTAAGAGATGGGAACACAAGCAGGTTAAAACCTCGCTAGTGGGCAGACCTATCAGAGACCCTGGGTGCACCCTGAATCGAACACTTAGCTTCTCCACAGATGGCCCAGCATGTCTTGTGACTCAAGGAAGCTAGTGAAGAGAAGAAGCTAGTCTGTGAAATTATGATCAGCAAGGAAGTACCCCCACATAGACACAGCCAGCCTGGTCCTGCCTACCTGGGTGTCCGAGGAAGGGCAGGGCTCCCAGACACTGGGGACAACCTGCACTTGGCGAAACTCAGGACCTTGAGGTGGGGTCGCTCACCTTCACACTGTCAGGCGAGGACTGCCGGAACTTATTCTGGTAGATTTTCAGCGTGTCAGCCGTGAGGACGTAGGGGTGCTGGCTGCGCATGCTGAGGAACTTTTCAAACTGCTCTGGCTGGTACTCATCAAAGTTGAAGGCCTCCACCGGCCCGGAGGGTCCATTGGCCACCACCGACACGCGCACAGTGGGCATCTGGCTGCCGCTGCAGCTGATGGCCTGCATCTGGCTGATTCTGCTCAGGATGGTATCCACCTTGGACTCGAAGCCCCTCTGCGCTGCAAATACATTCTGATCTCTGGATCCATCAAACCCCAGGATCACATCCAGATTGCAGGCTGGAAAGGAGAGATGTAGGCCAGGAGCACTAAGATGAGGCCGCAGAGGAGAATTCTAAGCATGCGGGACCAGGTACAGTGGGATGGGGACCAGAACGCAGTGCTCAGGATCCAGAGGAGACCCTCCTAGGCACCCTCTGAGTAGTAGCGAGGCCTGCCTTTCTCATAGGGAAAAACACAGTTCATTGCTGAGGAGCAAACCTGTGGCCTGTTTCAACACACAAGGTGTGATCAAAAAGCACAGCAAATGTTTAATTTTTTAAAAAATTATAGTAAATGATGCATTGCCATGACCCACACAAATACTCCCCTTCACTTCAAACACATCTATCCTGACATGCTTGCCACCTCCTGGAGCAGTTCTGGAGCCTTCTTTCCAAAGTTGTGCTCTTGAGGCTGCCTGCATGTTTCGAGTCAATTAAAAATGCTGATATTTCATGGTCACTTTGACTTCGGGGAAGAGCCTGAAGTTGCAGGGTACCAGATCAGGGCATTAGGATGATGAGGACACATGTCCTGTTTTTCCAAGCTGCCTTCCTGTTGGATGGCCCTGGGCAGGAGCATTAACTTCTTATCACCTCTCGTAAAGACACGAAGAAGGCTCCAGAACTGCTTCCGAGAGTGGCAAGAGCAACAGGATAAGTGGACAGTGATGAAAGGCAATGTGTCTTTTACTGTGATAAATTTTTAATGTAAACATTCATCAGATATTTTGACCACATCTCACAAATTCGCTGTATTAGAGGAGTTCATCAATTTTGGTGTAATAATATTCAATTGGCATTTCAGCACATCTAAAGCACGTGGTTTGAATTAAAAACATTTTAGAAAGCAAATGTTTCAGTATCAAAAACAATTGACCCAATAAAACTATAACCAAAAATAAGGATTAATAAATCTAAGTCATTTGGAGAACAAATCTTGTAAGAATGAAAAAGGGCTTAGGCTCTTTCCCTGGAAAACAGTAGTCGGTGAACCCCAGGGCCCAGCCCATGTGAGTATAAGGAAATTCTCATGGCAACCAAATGCTTAAGAAACACTTGGGCCAGCACTGGGAAGTCAGGAAGGTGGGCCCCAGTCTCCAGGAAAGCACTAGGTGGTAGAGGGGTTACCTTTGGATACATCGGCCACTCCAGGACACAGGGTCTCATGCATCGCGTCGTGCAGTGTTTCTAGAACTTGCTCACTCAGCTCTGACAGCTCCTGGACGTTCCCTACTCGGAAGGCTGTGGCACTGTTGGACGCGATCTTGCCGACCTCCTCGGAGTCGATGTTCCGCACACCCACTGCGAACACTTTGACACCCCTCTGGGTGAGTGCCAGGCTCACGTCCTGAGCGTCCTCCACTGACTTCCCCCCTGTGATCACAAAGGCGATCTGGGGGACCCGCTGGTCCAGCCGGCTGCCTGCCTCAGGGATGAAGTGGTTGAGCTGCAGGTGCTGCAGGCCCACTCTGGTGTTGGCGTGCCGCCCGCCCTTGTAGACCACCTTGTTGATGGCATCGATGATCTGCCTCTTGGAGGAAAAGTCCTTTAGGAAGAATTCATCAGTGGGGTCGGAGTTGTACTGGACCAGCCCCACCTGGATGGAGTCGCCTTCTTCATAAACTGTGTCCACAATTTCAGACACAAACCGAAGCACTTCCTGGAAATTGTCCCTCCTGAAATTGATGGAACCGTCTAGCAGGAACACGATGTCTGCTTTCTTCTTCTCTACAAGGGATCATATTGAAGATGAGGAAAGCTGGGCCTCCACACCCAGAGCACAAACACACACTATGTAAGTTAACATAAGACAACAGTCCTAAGGATTCATTCATAAGGAAAACCTTCATTCCACCCCACACCTCTCCAGTGCCAGCCCCAAACCACGCTGTGCTGAAAACAAGAAGCTAAAAGATAAGTTATCAATTCAAAAGGAAAGGACAGGCAGGAACTTAGTAAGACAGAGCCCTGGTGTTCCCAAGCACAATGATGCCATGCCAGGAAATCAGTAAGGACCTGGATTCAATGGTGTGGATTTCTAGGAAATCCATTCTTTCCGACCAAAAGTGAAAGTCAGCATCTGGCAGGAGTAGGAGAGATGAGTTAAGAGCCGGGCAAGGAAGGACCAGGAGAGGCAGGCTGGAAACAGGAGGCTGCCGGACAGCTTTCTGGGCTGCCCCTGAAAATGGGTGGGAGGTGGGAGTGACCTCTGGGTTCTAACCCATCAACGCCCACCAAGGGAGACCAAAATGAATCAGAAGGACCAGATGAGAGACTCAGGATTTGCCCAGCCAGCCCAGAGGGGCAGCAGAGAGAGAGCTAGAGCCAGGGGCTGGGAAAACCTACTCCTCGAATCTGGGTGTCTGAGCAGCCACCACCCAGAGGCCCAGAAGAGGAGATGAGGAAGGTGTGGGTGAGGTAGCTTCTGATTTGCTCCTGGCAGCCCCACAGGTGATAGCCAGCAGGGCACAGGCCAGGGACCTCAAAGATGCTAGTATTCCAACAGCCAGTGGGCGTGGTGAGACCTTGGGGCACCTTTATATCATCTCTGACTGGGCCACAGTTAACCTTGAGAGTATAGAAGATTCACAGCCTTGGGGCTTGGGGGGCCCTGTTTCCTTCTGATTTGAACTGAGCTACTTTATCAGTGTTCAATTTCTAACATAATAGTTCCAAGGCAGCTATTATGCAGGGTGCTGGTTATGCTCAATGTAGTTTTGAGAGGCCACTCAGGGGCCATGTGTGATCAGGGGCCATGCAGCTCATACCTGGCCTTGAGACAAAAGGTGTGAATGCTGGGGGAGCTGGGGTAATCCCAGAGGATCCAAAGGAGCCTATGACTCTCTCCTCTATGCTGGGAAGGTCTTTGAACTCTCGCACCGTGAAGACCAGCCTGGGGTCATTGGTGATCATCTGCAGCTCTGTTTGGTCCACATTCCGGCTCCCAATTCCTAAACTTGCGATCCCAGAGGAAGTTATGATCCGGGCAAAACCGGAAACATCGTCCTGGGATTTTCCACCCAGAAGCAGGACCAGGTGTTGAGGCACCCCATCTTCTATCCGGCTCCCGGCAGACTTGACAAAGAGATTTTTTGCCACATACTCCAGAGCTTTGCCCACATTCAGCGGAGCTCCACCCCGGAATCTCAGACGCCGGATGGCGGCCAGCACAGCAGCCTGGGACCTGTGGGTCTTCAGTAAGAACTCAGGGAAAACCTCATTGCTGAACTGCACGAGGCCAATCCTCACTTTGCTGGGGCCAATGCTGAGTCTTTGAACAATCCTGCTCACAAAGTCTCGGATGTGCACAAGCCCCTCGCTCCTAACGCCGTCGGAGCTGTCGATGAGGAAGACGATGTCAGCAGCGTCACTCTCTGCAAGGGAAAGGAAGAGCAGTGCGGAGGTGCCCAGCACCCAGCAGGTTCCGGCTGGACCGCCCCAGCCCCGCATTAACCAACAGTGAGACTGCACGCCGGGACAGATGCACTGCCCATGTCTTGGGCTTGGGGAAATGAATCATTTTAAAAATGGGTCTTTTTTTTGTCAAAGTAATTTCCATTTCTTAAAATATTTTAAATTTTCCAAAACTTAATCGGAGTTTCTGAGTTGACTCCGTTTTAATTTTGGCTTTGTGGTCTGGGTTATTACCAATTTTAGAAAATGTAAGCACCATTTAGAAAGTAGTTGTGGATTACAGAAGAGACTGTGACTACCAGAGCCAACACCTGCCAGAGAAAGAGAAAGAGCAAGGAAGAGAGAGGGAAAGAGAGACACAGACAGAGAGATGGAAAGAGACAGAGACACAGAGAGAGAGACACAGAAGGGGGAGAAACAGAGAGAGAGAGACAGAGACAGAGACAGAGACAGAGACAGAGACAGAAAGGCAGTATTGAGTGAAAGGTCCCTGCCCTGTCCAACCCATCGTTCAGTAACTTGAGCTGGGTTTCACCCATAGGTTGAGCATTCCCTAATCCCAATAGCCAAAGTCTGAAATGCTCCAATCCAAAATTTTTTCAGGATTGACCTGAAACCACTCCAGGGGAAATTCTACATCACACTCTCTGTTTCATGAAGTTATTTTTTAATTCAGACTATGTGGATAGGTATATAAGAAAAAAACCAAGGAATTTCACATTTTTAGAGTTGGGTCCCAACCTAAAGTATCTCAGTATGTATATACAAATATCCCCAAATTCAAAACTGTCCAAAATGCTTCTGGTGTCAAGCATTTTGGATAAGGAATACTCAGTCTGTAGAGATAATCACAACATCTTGTGGAAGATGAGCCTCATTTTACTGTACTTAGAATTCTACAAGTTTCTCAGTTGCCCCTGGATAAACTAATATGTTGCCTACCAACCTGGCCTTATCCCTGGCTGGGTTATTTATAGTGGGATCGCTGAGTTAATTGCACAATGAAACCATTTACTGAGACAGAGAAAAGCAGCCTCACAGTGGGGTCCTTACAAGTTGGGGTCCCTGCTGAGTATAACCACCCCATAGCACTCAGCACCAGCCTGGGGCACTGTGCTACCACCACAAAGGGACCAAGCACAGACAAGCCAGCTCTGAAGTCCTACGGAACACAGACAAGAGAAAAGCTTCACCCAGACCTCAGAGAGGCTCCACATTCCTACCCTGGTGATCAGGGGGGACCCAGATTTCTATTACCATCCTCCTAACTAAGACCAAGACAGCCAATCATGGAGCAGTCTCCACTTCTCCACCATTCTCAGTCCGGGTCAGAGAACTTCAGATTACCTAACATGAGCTCCAACCTTCCACACCCCCTTTTTCGGATGCCCCATCCCATGCACCCTGCTGCATTGAGCCACAGCACACCTGGGCTGACACAGGTGTGTCCTGGCGTCTCTGCTGGGCCCTGGCTGAACAAAGCTGAGGGGGCACCACCTTTGTGGAAGAGTGACTTACTCCAAGCAGCGGTGAATTTTTAGACAGAACCCTCCCACACCGCATCCGGCCCCAGGACCATACCTGGCGGAGGGTAGGTGGTGCTGGCCAGGATCTGCCTGATCTGCTGGGCCGTGAGGGTGGTGATGGGCGTCAGCAGCCTCTGCTCCAGGCTGGGCAGCTCCCGGAAACTGCTGACTGAGAACACATACTCGGGGCTCAGCGAGATCTTAACCATCTCCTCCCGGTCTGCGTTCCTGCCCACTATGAAGGGGGCCACGCCAAACTGCTTCAGCTCCACTGCCGAGTCGTCCACCTCGTCATTGGACTTTCCCGATGAGATGAGCACCAGGAACTGAGGGACACCTTCCTCGATTCGGCTGCCCAGCGGCCTCTTGAAGATGTTCCTGGACACATACTCCAGGGCACTCCCCACATTGACCTGGGTGCCGCCCTTGGGCCGCAGCCGCCGCACAGCATTCTGCACCTCGTCCTTGCTGGAGTGTGCGTTGAGCAGAAACTCCACCTTGGGGTCCCCACTGAACTGGATGACCGCTACCCGTGTGGTATCAAAACCCACATCCAGGTAGTCCACCAGCCTCTCGATGAAGCCACGGATGTACTGGAACTCCGGGCTGGCAGCCTGAGACCCATCGATGAGAAAGACCACGTCCCTCTTGTTACCACCTGCAGTGAACCGAACAAGACCATGGGCATTGCCTTTAGGTGCATCAAATTCTTAGCATTAACGAACCACCTCTCAGCCCTCCAAGGAGGCACTGCCTGTCTGACAAGTGACCTGAGCATCCACCAAAATACCAGTCCAAGGACAAGGCTCGTGCATTTCAGCACCCTCCTGTCAGAAAGAAGTAGGGAGCCAGCAAAGATGAGGGAAGAAGGATCCCCTAAGATACAGATGCCGGAAGCACTGGGTCTGTAGAGTGAAGGCGGCTTCCCAGCTGCAGCGGGGGCTGCGTTTGGCCACTTTGTCACTGGAGGGACCTGGACCAATGCTGTTCTAGCAGGGGTAGAGAGTGACAGGCTGTAGTGGGTCCAGCAAAGCCAGGAGGAGAGGGGCTGCACGGAGCACAGACAAGATGAGGCTGCCAGCAAGGGGATTGAGAGTACTGCTAAGAGAAAACAGCCATGGCGGGGAGAGAGGAGAACCAGAGGTTGCTCTGAGCAGGAGCTTCCAGAAGGAAGTGCTCTTTGATTTCCTTGTTTTGGGACTCAAGGCCTCCCTCGCAGAAGAAGTGGAAGGAGGAGAGGTGTGAGGAGTGGGGCTGGGAAGGAAGCAGTGTGCAGGAAGTGGGAGAGTGAGCAGCCCAGGAGCCAGACCACTGCAGAAACACACGCCTGTGAAGAAGCTACATATAGCTGGGCATGGCCATGTATGTCTGTCATTTCAGCATCTAAATTAAAAAAAAAAAATACAGGCCTGGAGACGCAGTTTGATGCCAAGGCCCTGAGTTCAATCTCCCACACTAAAAAAGTAAAGAAACTGCATTCAAGGAGGCAGATTTTGGGGTTTGTTTTTTTTTTTTTTTTTTGGTTTTTTGTTTTTTGTTTTTTGTTTTTTGTACTAGGGATTGAACTCATGACCTCATGCTTGCCAGACAGGTGCTTACTCCACTGAGCTAAATCCCCAGCCACGGAGGTGAATTTGAAGGGGTCCCCTGCAAATCTGGGACCTCAAGGTACAGAGCAATAAAGACTTGTGCCATCAGATAAGTTAGGAAATGCGGCATCTCCTGGTGTCAGAGGTATACACGGCACACCAGTGAGAGGGATTTGAAAGAAAGAAAGAAAGAAATCTCTTCACTGTGTCCCACTGTTTCCGGAATGTGTTGGATCACTTACACTTCAGACATCGTATGGGAGTCATCAGGGCCTGCTGCTCTGTCCCAACAATAAGAAGCTCACACACACACACACACACACACACACACACACACACACACATGCACACACACACACACACATGCATACATGAACACACACAAGTGCCCCAGCCAGGCACCACCCCTCCTTGACTGCCACAGGACAGACAGTGGCCTCTGCCTCTCCCTCCCTTCTATAGACCCCTCCTTCCTGCCCCGCCCCACCACCTTTTCCCCTCTCTGAGCCACAAGACAAGTTTGCCTTGGCCTCCCTCAGCACCATCTCTTCCCTGCCCAGGTGTCCAGGGAGAGCCAGCCTCAGACTGGCATTTGCTGAGGTTGGGCATCACTTAGCTGCATTCCTCCCTAGCTGTCAGAGCTGCCACCCTTACCTGGGCTTGTTGGGGCTGGAAAGATGGGCTGCAGCCTGCTCAGCTCCTCGCGGCTGAGCTGGATCACCCTCTCAGAGACAACCTGCTGCACAGTCCCCAGCTCCCGGAAGTTGGGGATGGCCACCGCAAAGTCTGGGATAAAGGATATGGTCTGCATCTCCGAGATGTCAGCGTTGCCTATGCCGATGCCGATGGGAACCGCCCCACCCCTCTTCAGCACCGCTGAGGGGCCCCTCACGTCATCCCCAGACCTCTCAGCGGTGAGCACAATCAGGAGCTGGGGGACACCATCCTCCATCCTGCTGCCCGCGGATCTGGTCAGGATGTTCTTCAGGACAAAGTCCAGAGCCGCCCCAGTGTTGGGCGTTGGCCCGCCCAGCAGGCTCAGTCTGCGGATGGCGCTGATGACACCCTGTTGATCCATGAAGGAGTTCAGGTAGAACTCAGGCCGAGTGCGGTCACTGTACTGCACCACGGCGACTCGGACACGGTCGGGGCCCACATCCAGGCTCTGCACCAGCCTCTCCATGAAGTCCTTCAGCAGCCCGAAGCCACTCCGGACGCCCTCAGAGCCGTCAATCAGGAACACCACATCCTTCTCACCTGAAGCTGGGACAGAGACCACAGAGGATTCACCCTCCCACTTATAGGATGGTCTGCAGAGCCCAAGGCGGTCCAGCTCCAAACCCCAGAACTTGGGAAAGGGCATCCCAGGTGGAGTCGAGGAGTGGAGACATCATGGATTACCCAGGAACTCCAAATTCTCCCATCAATCAATCTAAAGTGTCCTCTCAAAAGCAGGGCAAGAGGTCTTGGCAGGCAGAGAGCAAGAAGCCATACCAGCAGCTTCCACATTTGGGGCAAGGCCACCAGCCAAGGAACACAGGCCACCTCTAGAAGCCAGAGGCCATGAGGACATGGACAATCTCCTAGGTCTTCCAGAAGGGATACGGGCCTGGGCTTCAGCCCAGGGAGTCTGGTTTGCCATTCCTGACCTCCAGATTTCCCAGGGAACACATTCATTTCCATGCGAGCTGTGAAATGTCTGGTTTAAGACAGCAACGCAAACAAACACTCCCATTCAGAAAACCCTCTCATCTGAGAACTTTCCCTTGACAGGGCAGGATTGTTAACCCCTGAAGTGAGCTTGAGAGAAACATTGGGGTCAGGTAGGAGAGCCAGGCCATTTGCCAGAAGGGAGGGGTGAGGTGGCCAGCTGCCAGCCACGTGTGGGGCCCAGAGGCCACAGTGACCGTCCCCTGCATTGCACAGTCAGCAGTGAGGACAGCCCAGAATCTCGGTTTTTAAACAAAAGAACTATGTGCAAAATTGTTTTCATTGCATTTTCACCACCAAAGGAAAAGAAGTAAAACAGAAGCTCATAGTAGCATAAACCAGTAGTTGGAAATTTCAAGGCAACATTGTGGTGGGAACACATCTGGCTCCAGGGCCTTTGGCTGTCGGGGAACACGGTTAGGGAAGGGTGTAACAGGGGCACCCATGGAGCAAAAAGGCACCAAGGGAACACAGCGAGGATGCCTTTAGCTGCAAGGGGACCATATGATACAGCTTTATGTTACACACATAGAAACATAAAACCATCCAGGAGGAAGATGTCAACTAAGGACTCTGGAATCTTCCTAATGTGTGTCATTATGACATATCCTACTGCTCTTAAAAATCATCACCCAGATTCTCCTGTTTTGCCCCAGGGACCAGCTAGAAAATCAAAGTGAGGGGGGAAAAACACATATTCTGTTCCTTTAGAAACCACCTGTAAGTTTCCATCTCCCTAGCTCCGCACCCCTCCCCCGCCAGGAAGGGACCCAGGGTGAGGAGGCTGAGCCTGGCTCTGCCTGGGTGAGCCCGCCGGCATGTACCTGGTGGCTGGCCTCCTCCATCGTATGCTGACTTTAAGAGGTTCACAATCTGGGGCTGCAGCTCTCCAATCTTGGGCAGTGACTCCGCAGCCAGGATGAACACAGGAGACAGCACAATCTGCTCCAGCTCGGCGGGGTCCGCATTCTTGGCTTGGAAGACGAAAGGGATCACCCCACTCTGCTTCAGGTTCCTCGCAGGCACATCCACAGAATCCGATGACTTGCCCGCCACCAGCAACACCAGCACCTGCATCACTCCATCCTCGATGCGACTGCCCATGGTCTTCACGAAAATGTACCTCTGCGCGAAGTCCAGGGCGTAGCCCAGGTTCAGCATCTTCCCTGTCTTGATCTTCATCCGCTTCACCAAGTTCAGGATCTCCGGCTTGGTCATGTGCTCGTTGAAGCGGGACTCCAACCGGACATCATCACTGTACTGGGCCACGGCCACCCGGATCCCGTCGGGCTTCACGTCCAGCTCGTCGATGATCTTGTAGAGAAAGTCTCGTACAGCGGGGAACTGGCCCACGAGGTTGGCAGAGCCATCAAAAAGGAACAGGATATCTCTCTTGTTCTCTGCAGAGAATAGAGAGGAAGACGCAGTGAGTGGAGAGATCCCAACAGACACCAAACGAGTCAGAGCCACACCTCCCACTTTGGACCAGGAGGAGTCCAGGAGCCACGGTACCAGGGAGGACAGAGAACATCGCTACTGGATATGGCACGGGCCAGCTCAGAATGGCACCTGTCTGTGCCCAGTGCCTCAGTCTTCTGTGAAGCCAGCCATTGGAAGTCCTGCCAGTTTGGCTCAACAAGTGCATTTTCACGTTGCTATAAATAAAACTAGCAACACTGAGGTCTTTATTGTCCTTTCGCTAAAAATCTGACCTCAGACTCCAGTGACAGAGGCTAATGCGGTTAAACCACCCAGGGAAAACTGGGTCACTACCTGCCTGCTCTAACTGAATTGTCTTTTTAGCATCTATGAAGCAGTGACTTAAAACCCAGAACAGTGCTAACCACAGTCATGTGAGTCAAGACCCTACCAGCACTCTCTGATCACTGTAGTTGGACCTCAAAGACGCAGAGGGCACGCGCCATCACAGAAGCAGCCGAACTGGCCAGTTTGAACAGTCCTTAGCCCATTTTGGATAGCTTTCCAGAGCTACCTTGTCACTACTCTGTGACGCCAGCAAGCTGGTGGCCCCAATACATGTATATCTCACTGACATGAGGATTCTAGCAATGATCATCGGTCTTCCTTTGGAAACCATTTCACTGCTGCATAAAGAGGTGCAGGTGATTTTTAGCTATAGCCCAAGTCTGAACATAGAAATTTTGTATAATGAAAATCATTTCAGTTTTTGAATGAAGCCAAGGCATAGTCATGTATGGACAGCCTCTCTCTCTTTTTCTCACTCCCACATCTAGATTTTAACTCCAGAACCTTTGCAAGCATTAGTGGGGCTAGGTAACTTCTGAAACAAGAAGCTAGCGTACAGATCAGCAAATCTGAAGCCGTGTATGTGTGTTCTATGCTTTCACTAACAAACACCTTCCAGACTCTCTTTGCTACTACTGCAGGGTCTCAAATCCCTGTTCAAATAAGCTCGACCAAAATGACCCATGAGTCATCCTCCCACGTGGTCGCCATGGCTCCTGTGTTCAACCTGGCCCCCACAAGCCCCAAAGGCTCTATGGATATGGACAGCAAAGAGCCTGCATCGGCAGAGGCTTTACCTGGCTGGGCGAGTGGCACTTCCTCCACCCCTCCGCTAACGTAAGTGGTGAGGGGCTGAAGCAGCTGCTGCGGCAGGGTTGGCAGAGAGCTGAAATCATCCATGAGGTACACCAAGCTCGGGTTAAAGGCAATCTGCTCGAGCTCTGCCTTATTTGCCCGGCTGGCCCCCACACAAAAAGTCAGGATGCCTGCACGTGCCAGCTGGTTGGCAGCTTGCAAATAGGAGTCCTGAGACTGCCCGGCCGTGAGCAGGAGCAACAGCTGCGGCACATGTTCTCGGATCCTGCTGCCACCAGCCTCGGTGAAGTGGTTGGCATGGACGTAGCCGAGGGCTGCGCCCATGTTCAGGCCGGTCCCGCCCTGCAGCTGCAAGCCCCGCAGGTGAGCGAGCAGCTCGGCCTTGGTCTGGTATGTGTCTAGAGAGAACTCCGTCACGGGAGTGTCACTAAATTGCACTAAACCAACACGGATATTGTCACTTCCGACATCAAGGCTGTTAACTAGATTCATGACAAAGTCACGCACATAAGGGAAGTTGGTTTTTCCAACGTTGACTGATCCATCCAAAAGGAAGATGATATCCCTTTTGTTTATGTGAACTGCAGTGAAGCACAGAAAACAAAGTGAGACACACACGTGTGTACCCGGGCTCCATGTGTGCCGGCCCCATGGCACGCATGCCCACAGGGACACACAGAAAGGTAGCATGGCGAAGCATGTCCGGCTCATAAAATATGGCAGCAGCTACATATTTTCCTCTGGAGGTGGCTGGTGCTGTGAGGCTGATGGATAGCCAGGTGTACAAAGCCAAACTGGCTCACACAGATTCAGCGCCAAAGCTAGAACATTTGCGACTGACACGACCTGCGGGATTCCTAAAACACAGCTTTGCTTCTCTTGAAACAATCTCAAAAGGTGCTGGCCTTTCTGGGTCATCTGTCCACACAACCCTGATGGCCAGTTTTGCCTGGCCCTGAGAGGGTCCCCTGGGGCACCCATGTGTGCAATAATGGGGCCCTTTCTGTGGGCAGCTTGGGAGCAGTTAGCCCACTTCAGCCTGAGCACATGCATTCCTTAAGCCAAGAACAATCAAACAAAGCCTGTTCTCCTCTGGAAGACCCACCACCACCACTCCATGGTGACTCCCACCAGCTTCTGTCATCCTGGGGTCCCAGCCAGGTGCACCTGGGCACTTGGTACAAAGGGATACAGAGGAGCACCTGGGGAAATACTGAGACTACTCGCTGTACTTGCTGGCAGGTGCATGGGGAGAATAACAATCATAATTCTCAGATTAGACGCTCTGTGGTTCCACATCTGCAGATTCAACCAACACCAGATCAGAACGTCTTGGGAACAAATTAGGTCTGCCCTGAACACAGGTGGGTTTCCTCTCTCATCCTTATGCCCTGAAGAATGCAGTGTAATCTACAAGTGGAAGTTTGGTTGCGTTGGGTCACACAGTTCATCCAGCGCTGATGGACAGCACACATGAGGCAGTGCCTGGGTTTTGTGGAAACACTACATCACCTCACACAGGGCCAGAGCATCCAAGGATTTTTGTTTCCATGGGAATCCTGGATCCCATCCCATCATCAGCTGAGGGATGACAGCTTTTTCCTAACACATTTAGCTTCTGCCTTTAAAAAATATATTACACATCTGTAACCTCAGCACTCGGGAGGCTGAGGCAGAAAGATCTTATTCAAGAATACCCTGGGCTCCATAGCAAAACTCTGTCCCCTAAAAATCAAAAAAAGCATTTCTTTTTTTTTTTCTCTCTGGTCTCACTGTAATTTAGAATAATTTTGTCCTATGTTTACAAAGTTGAACTTTGGCTATAAAAGAGTAGATGAGAAGTCTAAAGAAAATAAAGGAGAGAAAGAGACAGACAGAGAGGGAAAGGACTCTGAGAACGTCTACAACCAATGAATTTCATTGACAGGAAGCAGACATCCATGCAGGGGAACATGCACTATGTCACGGAGGCAGCTTGGTTCCACGATATTCATCTTCTCTTCATTATGGTCAGAGGATTGCATTTATGTAATTCACCAGCTAGAGAACTCAACAGTTTCTAAAGGAAACAGCTTCTCTCTGGCAATCACATTACCCGAGGGGTCAAAAGAACCATGGTCCTGGCTCTACACCCAGCCCTCACTGCATCTCCCACCAAGCGAACCCTTAGCCGGTGGTGCTGCACCCCATTTGGGGGGGATGGTGCTTTGCTGGTCCCTGAACCTCGCTGCCCTGTGGCACTGGGGAGGAGGAGCTGGACCCGTCATGCCATGCTCCATTAGGTATCTGAGAATCTAGAGTTCTTTCAGGGGAAAGGGAAGCCTGGCTGGAGCCTGTTTCTGGCCTGGTTTCCAGCACAGAACAGTTCTCTCTGCCAACGCCAATGCAGCCTCGGGGCTCTGTTCTCTCCAGAGGCTTTTCCTGTGGGCCCCTGCATGCATGCGCCGCACCACCCTACCTTCAGTGGTTCCGGAGAGGGTCCTGAGGGGTGAGAGCAGGCTGGGCAGGACGCCTTGCAAGGGAACGGCTCGGAACTCATTGGGGATGAACACCAGGGAGGAATCGAAAGCAATCTCTTCCAGTTCGGCCGGATCAGCAACCTTGTTCCCAACGGCTAAAGCCAGGATGCCGCTTCTCTTCAGCTCCTGGGCAGGCTGGCTGACGGGGTCAAGGGACTTACCCCCTGTGATTAGCACCAGGAGCTTAGGGATGCCCTCGGCAGCCCGGGAGCCAACCGAGCTGGTGAACAGGTTGTCACGAACGAAGTCCAAGGCCGAGCCCGTATTCAGGGCTGGACCCTCCATGGGCTTCATTCTCCGAACTGCATTTATGGCTTCTCTTTTACTGGGGTAGGTATTGAAATAAAACTCGGGCTTCACAGTGTCTGCATACTGAGCCACTGCCACCTGGATGAGGTCCTGTCCGATTTCCAGCCGCTGGATGACTTTGCCGATGAAGTCTCGGATGGCATTGAAGTTGGCCAGTCCCAGTTTGGAAGAGCCGTCCACCAGAAAGACTATGTCCCTCTTGTTGACCTCGATGACTGTGGATAGCAAGATGGAAAGATGAGTAGCCCGGCCTGACCCGTGGCACTCAACCCCAGCTCCACAAAGCCAGCTCTGCCTTGGGGTGCCCCCTTTGCTCCAGCCCCTGTGCCATCAAGGGCTGCCCCAGGTGACATTGGTCACAACACACTCATTCGTCCCATCAGCAGCCATGCCTACTGGGTGGCAGTGGGTTCCCCTCCAGTCCTGCCTCCTCTGGATACATTGCACAACATAGGAGCACAAAAATTTAGTTTTAGTGGCTTAGCATGTTGTCACTAAGGAGTACTCAGTCCTTTCCTACCATAAATATAATTTGATCAGAAAAAAGCTATAGTTTGATGGGCTAGAAAAGCAGCCTCTATCAGCTCAGACAGCCACAGAGCTAAAAGGGTACGAACACCATCCCCTGCGCTTGCCAGGCAGATGCTATGGTGCTGAGCTATATCCCTGGCCCTACTTCTATGTTCTATTACTTCTTTTTTTTTTTCAGTGAAAAAGCAAACATTTAAAATTGTAAACGTTTTTGAGATTTTTTTTTAAAGGAAATCCACATCACAGCTAGCCTATGCCACCAGAATCCTGGTCATAAAGGTCTTAAGTATCACGGGTGTTTTGGTATAACCCAAAGACAAATCACATGGAGAAATGTCTCTGCGAGGTCACTGCCTCGAGCTGCTGTGAGCTCTTTCCCAGGATTCTCTACAAATGTGAGTGAGTTGCCCACACTGTGGGCACAAGGAACTGTCCTGGGCCGAGGTGCCCAGGCCAGAACCTGGGAGGGCTTTGGAGACAGACATGAACCTATGCAACCAACCATGAGGAGGTGGGCAGAAGGCCCTTAGCCATCCTCCCCCCAGACAGCTGTGTAGCAAGTTGATTTGGCAACGCCCAGCAAGGGAAAGAAGGTGTGAGACAAAGGTGAGGAAGAGCTGCTGAGATCGAACGTGATTGAAGCCTGGCTCCTTCTCCGCCATGAAGACAGGAGGCTGAGAGCTCATGCCTGGACCTGAATCACTGGTCCGTGCAATAAAGAGGTGTTTGGGTCAGATGCACCTCCAAGACCCATGCTGGGTTCCAGCAGAAGGGTGATGCTCCATGCACGGGTATCCTTTCTACAAGGCCAGTTGCTGACAGTGCATACCCAACCTTTTGCACTACCTCGAGGCAATGGCCACAGTCAAGGGACTCACACAGGGCTCCCATCCTTCCTTTGGTTTAGAATTCACGGTATCTCTGGGCTAAACCTTTGACTTCAGTTTAAAATATCTTTGCAAATAAACCTGAACACGCAGAAGGCTGGCAGACTGGCAGAGTTTCCATGCCTTTCCATCATTAGGGATAATCCTTATACACACACACACACACACACACACACACACACACACACATGCTCATGCACACCCCTGTCTAATGTGCCATGTCTGCGTCACACACCCATCCCCCATGCACACCGAGTGTAACAGACAAACAGTCAGTGCTCATGGTCACTGTACTCCATGGTGCATGGTCCCAGCTCATTCTTTGTGATTTCTGGCAACAGCCCGGTGCCTTAGGTGGGAGGAGCTGACTGCCGCATTCACCTTTCCCAAAGCAAACCTGCTGCAGCTGCACTATGATCCACCCTCCAGGGAGCCCCAGGAGCACAGGTGGTCAGATCCAGTGCACACAGAACCAAAGGAGTGGAACCCCAGGGACCTCGGTGTGGACCTGCCCATGGGTGGCTGTTCCTCATCCCACTCAGCTTCCCACATCTGGGCCCTTGAGAATCTCCCCTCCCTGGGGCGCTTCTCACCCTCCCTCCTCCCTCCCATTCCTGGTCCCACAAAATTGATGTTACCTCTTCAGATCCCATTCCAGGGCCTGGCTCTGTTCACTCACCACAGCATACAGGCAACACACTCAGACCCCACTCTTTCCAGCCATGCTCCCTGAACACCCTTCCTCTGAACCCCAAGGCACCCCAAGTTCTCTGTGCTCACTCCAGACTCCACAACTCCCTCCCAGTCACTCCTCTAGTGTCCCACGTATGGAGTGAGCCTGGACCCTGCTTCCTAGTCCCTGGTACCCCAACCTTGCTGCTTCCTGAAGGTTCCCGAGAGGGGTCAAGCTCCTCAGCAGGGCTGCACCTTCCTCCTGCCTGAAACACTCTTCCCTGCATTCTCTGTGTGTGTCTCCCCCACACCCCACAGCTCGAGCTTCTGGCCAGGGTCCCTCAGCCTCATCCCACATTCTCTCCAACACAGCCCTGTGATGCCTTATGCAACTTATCTTCTGCAGAAATGTCTCTCTTGCCCGTTAGTTTACATTTCCCTTATCCAGCTGCCATAGCACTGGAAGAGACAAGCAGCCACGTCTGTCATTGGCCAGCACTATGTCTCTAGCCCTTGGCGTGGTGCCTGGTATACACCAGACAGTTAAGGAATTTGGTGAATGTTTACAAGTTGATCACTGGGATTAGAGATAATGTTTATACAAGACTTAATCTCCAGCTAGAGAAGACCTGAAATAAGGGTGATGCACTGCCCACTGAATAAAGAAGTTGAACCTTCTCCAGAACCAAGGTAGTTTCATCTAGTGCAACTTCTTGGACAGCATTTTGGAATCAGAGTGCAGAGAAGGTGCAGGAGCAGCCCACAACCAAGGGCAGGCCTGCCAACCACAGCCATGGTACTCACTCTGTGTCACAAAACCTGGGGAAATCACTTGCTTCCAAATACAGGCAAGCCCAGAGGTACCTCAGAAAGCTATAGGGTGTCATTTGATTGTTTCCTCAATTCCCAGGGCCACAGAACGGCACCCAAGGGAGCAGGCTAAGGAGCTCGAGCTGCAGGCAGACAGGGCCTGCGCCCTACATGTGTGTTGCCTCTCCCCATCCATTTCTGCTCCAACTTTCCAACCAAGGAAAAGCTGGAGCCCAAATGAGCCAGCAGCCAGCTGTGCCACACTGGCCCACATGAACTAAATGCTAGGCAGAGCTTTCTCTGGAAAGCATTTGCCACGTACACTTCTTACCATGCCCCCTGATGCAGGCTGATGTCCAAATTGAGGCACGATGTCAAGGCCCTGAGCTTGGTGCCTATGGTTGCCATGACAACACCACAGCTGCCTCAGAGCCATTTGGAGAAAGTTAGGCCATCTCCACTCGAATTTGACAAGAGCCTAAGGAAATGCAAGGATGCATTCTTTCCTCAGTGCACCACCTGATAATACTACATTGGTTCCAGAGAAGGTTAAACGTCTCTGCATCAACCATCTTTCAGATTTTCTCTAGCTGGAGCTTAAGTCTTTTATAAACATTATCTCTAATCCCAGTGATCAACTTGTAAACATTCACCAGATTCCCTGACTGTCTGGTGTACACCAGGACCACGCCTGGTATCTATTGAGGAGCAAAGTACTATGAAGTAGAGGTCAGTTCCACACAGAAATTTTGTTCAAGAGTTTTAAATGTTCCCCTCTTGATTTCCTATGGTGGTTTATTTTTAAATTATCACTCCTTTTTCAAAGGAAAACAATTCTATGGGACTTGGTGAAGCAGTGTTTTATTTAATAATTATTCATCAGCCCCACACTTTTTACCTAGAAAATTACCACAAGTGAGCTGTGAAAATGTGCAGCTCCACAGAAGAAATTTTAAGCAACTGGCCACAGGTAATAACTGGCCTGAAACAGGCTTTTCATTCACTGATTTTTACGAAGCCCACACTCTGATGAGGCACCGGAAGCTCAGGAAAGAACAAGGTCTTACATTCAAGGAGACAGTGAATTGTAAGAAGGCCTGGGCCTGGGGGAGTGGCCCAGTATTCAGACAACACTGGGAAGTGAACTGGGTGTTTCCAGAAACCATCGAGGGCTGCAGGGCCCCTTGTTTCCTGTGTGGCATCCAAGTAGCCAGACCGAGGTCACCAAGTTGACACAGTCCCACAGCGGGAAGAGGAGTAATCTGTGCATTTCAACCCTTCCTGTCTCCCATGACTGTTAAACCCACAATTTCTAGGTGACTCTGTTGGCTCTGCGATTTTTCATTAGCTCCCGTTGGCTGTGTTGCCAGAGACTGTACATTCAAGGAAATGGCAGAGTCTTGTCATCCAAATCAGTGCCTCCTAAACTTAAAGGCACAGGGAAAAGTACTCCATAAAGCTTCCATCAAGCAGGTGCCTTCCTGCCCCTTACCTTCGAAATGTACTTCTCAGGGAGACAAGATCTCCTCCCTGCCTTTGGGAGAAGACAATTTAGGAGCATGCTCTGCACATGCTGACCTGCAAGTCAGTATCACCGTCCTGGAATAGCTTTCTCAGAACTGTGCTGAGCTGGGGCGGCTGGATTATAAATAGATAGTGAAATGAGGTCTCTCAAAGCAATGGGTTGGTGGACGGAGCCTGAACACACACTTCCTCCATGAGTCATCCTCTAACTGGAGCTTTCCCTGCTTCTGTTGATCTTTAGCGTTTGGAAAGCCCCCAACCGCAGACATTACATCCAGGAGCCGGCTTGTCCTGGAAGAGCTGGATGCTGGGTACTTACAGGTTTTCCTGAGGCGATCTCTCTGGTGCCCACCTCACTTCTACACAACCCAACACACAACACACCCCAGTCCCTCGAGGGTGAGGGGAGCATACATACCTTGTGTGATAATGGTTGGCGGTTGTAACACAATGTGCCTTTGGGCCACACCAACAATGTACGGCAGTAATTGCTCCTGGAGGTCCCCAAAGCTACGGAATTCCGGGACCGTAAACACCAAGCTTTCCTCGGTAGCTATGTGCTGGAGCTCTGCCCTGGAGGCGGCCTGGACTCCGAGGCCGAATGAGAACACGCTAGCCTGCTTCAGAGCTACCACCCCATCGTCGATCTGGTCACTAGAAGGCCCAGCACTTATAAGGACCAGCACCTGGGGAACCCCTTCCTCTACTCGGCTGCCCCCTGCCCGGGTGAAGTGATTCGCCACCACAAAGTCAAGGGCCTGGCCAATGTTAGCCAGCTCCCCACCAGTGAAGTTGAGGTCCTTCACTGCGGCCAGAACCTGAGCCTTGGAGGAGTAGGTGTCCAAGGAGAACATGGTTCTGGGCTCATCGCTATACTGGACCACCCCCACTCGGATCTGCTGGAGTCCAACTGAGAGTCTCTCAAGGAGATTTACAAGGAAGTCGAGAATGACTGCGAAATGGGAACTTCCGGTGTAGTTTGATCCATCAATAAGGAAAATAAGGTCAGCAGAGTCTTGTGCTTTAAAAGAAAGAAATGCAAAAAATGTGAAAGCGTTAGAACAAGTGACCACATGCATCATTCAGTGTTCTGACATGTTTCTTTGGAAACCAATAAGAAACACGAAATATGGACAAAACACAATGTCGATTAAGGAATGTGAAATTCTCTTTGGGTTCTGCATTCTGAATGGATAAGAGGCAATGTCTTAGAAACTATGGCCTGAGATGAGGCATTAACATCCAGTTTTCATTTGTGCCAATTTTATAGATAAATTTCTTTCATTCTTTTTTTTGTTTTCAGTTGTTTGAGACAGGATCTCACCATGCATTTCAGGCTGGCCTCAAACTCACAGGGTTCCTCCTGTCTCAGCCTCCCAAGGGCTAGGATGACAGGCGTGCACCACCAAGCCAGGCCTTATAGTTAAATTTCATATCATATTCACTTTTCTAGGGGAGAAATGTCAGATACATATTCTGGAAGTTTCTACTGAATTTTAGAGGAAAATGGGCTTGGATGTTATCAGACCTACAGGAGAAAATAAATGGGTAGATTAATAAAAATCCAGAGCTGACTTCTAATTTTGGGCCACTTCTCCCACTTCTTCAGGTGATTATGGGAATTTTTCATGCAGCTCCACAGCTGAGGAAACAGGATGACTCATCTCCCCCGAACGTTACGTGATCCCTTAAGTAACATTCACTGTCGTTTATTCTTTTTTCCTTAAAAACCAAAGTGGCTGAGGAAATGCAGTTTCATGAGTCAGAACTCAAACTTGGTTTACAGTTTTCTTTCTAAAAATGCCTGCAGGAATTTCAGGCCCCATCTCATGTCCCCACGTGCTACTGAGCTGTGTGAAACTTGAACACAGGTCTCCAGGTCTCGGATGGGGTCGGAGGTTTTAATTTGCGAGCACTCTTGCCTCCTATTCAGTCACACAATGCAGAACGGTGTTAAGCAGAGTGATATGAAACCAGTCATGACATAATTATCCAACCTTATCTTTATGATGCCCTGAGCAGATTCCCTAGCAGGACCCTGAGCATCTTCTTCGAGGATAATGGAGTGGCACAAGGGGCCTGAGCGAGGCTGACCATGCCTCCTCCCCGCCCCCCAGAATGGTGAACAGGGACCTTCCTTTCAGGTGCCAAGAATGGAGGCCACACAGAAGCTCTGACCAATGAAGGGCAGTCCGTAAACCAGGATAGAATATCCCAAAAGCTTACGTGGGCTGGCTCATACTGGCAGAAAACTTAAAATTGAAATTGTTCCTAATGAACATTTTTAATACCTTAACTGTGTGCCAAGGACAAGAAGAGATATTTGTGCAAAACTTCAGAGGCCAAGGAATATTTTATATCTAAGATTTTTTTCCCTATGCCAGCTAAATTGTTTTTACTTTCACTGCAGTGAAAGATTCAAATCCCCTCTCATAAAATTCAAGCATTTTGTTCTATAGAAGGGATTTCTCCTGCATGCTGCCCCTTGTGAGAACAATGCTCTCTCTCCTCCTAAACATATATCAGTCCCTGACAGCTTGGCCAATTAACCCCTCACAGTGTGAAGGGGGTTGACTTGGAACTGAGGTGTCACATCCTCTTGGAGGACAGGAGGATAATCTGTTTTTTTACTCCAGTAAGTAAGATCTTGTGTTTTGCATAATCACTGCACAGAGTTCCAAATGAGACCCGTCCTTTGCTCAGAACTTTGAAGCCTCTGCCACCCTTCAGAATCAGGGAGGATGAAGGACAATGCAGACCACAGAAATTCTGTGTCCTGCACAAGGGGGAGACATGCAGACCACATTGCCAAATTCCTCCAGTTTCTGGGACTAAGCCAATGCATTAACTACAATCCATGTGGCCAATAAAAGCAATACCTAAGCCATAGTGTGACGCAACTCCTTCCTCGAGTATTAATGAGTTTGGGGATGTAGTGTAGCCTAAGAAGATACATGAGCCCTAGGGGAGGTCTGTGAACCTTGCTATGAGGCTGAACCTCTACAGCAGCAGGTCATAAAAACACGTTGGATAATTTGCCATCACCGCATAAAAAACACTGTCCTTTTTCACACAATCATGGGACACACAGAGCATGCTGGGTTATCCAGAGAGCCGAAGCCTCACACAGACCCCGAGCCGTGGACTCTGGCGCACGGCAGGTGAACCAGCAACCATGCGCACCCGTCAGCAGCGCTGGCCAGACCTTGAGGGCGTGGGTGCCTGCTTTCCACCTTCACTCCGTGTCACACCCCCTGTGCCATTTTCTGTGTCACAGGCTCCAAGAGAATCTCCTGGGTCCCTAGCAGTGCTGGGGATGTTGCTGTGAGCACACAGCGGGGACGGGATGCTTCCCCAGCCCACATGCTGCTTCCCTCTGCTAGGAAAACTGGTGCATTCTCATTTCCTATGCAAAACACAAACTCCTAGGCATGATTCACACTGAAAGAAAAAAGTTTACGCTGAAATTCTACTGTCTATCTTTCTTTTTACTTTTTTAAAAATTTTTTTATTTTTTTATTTTCATTTTTGGTTTTTTGAGACAGTCTTGTCGTGTAACCTAAGCTGGCCTCAAACTCACAGCGATCCTCCTGCCTCAGCCTCCCAAATACTGGGATGACGGGCATACACCACCACACTTGCCTTAGCTTTCATCTTAGAATAAAGATTTCGTATCTTAGTGTCTCTGTTTGAAAAGCAGAGACAAAGGAATTTTTTCCCCCTTTTAAACAACCTCGAGAGGCTGGTAACTGAGTAGAGTCTGGAAGATGGTGATGCTAGCATTTTATCTGTAACAAGTTCTCCTCTTCTGACCAGCAGCCCACTGTATAGGAGCACCCTGCCCACAGGCAATGAGAAGAGATCTAACTCCACAGCGGTCTTCTCCAGAAGCGCCCCAGGGCCTGCCTCGGGACGGCAGCCTTCTGGTGCTACCTCACAGGGAACTTGCAGAACCACACTGCGATGGGACACGCCCCCAGCTGGCTGGCCCCATGCAGTTAATCAGAAGGCACAGCAGACAGATTAACCTCCACCCTGGTGCTGCTAGTGGCTTGCTCACCAGAACACAGAGATGCTTTCATGGCATAAAAACAAAGGTTTTGTGATCTGCGTGGAAAGGTATTAGGCCAGTAGACTCACTGGCATGCACCATGTTGAGCTCCACTATGTCCGTCTATGTAATGACTAAACACCAAGGCAAACTCTCACTGGTTCTTGAGTTTGACAAGAATGTCCCCTGTGAACCCTCGACTGCAGTGGGCTCTGGATCCCAAAAGGTGAGAGACCAGTGAGTTAATGAAGCTGAGAGTGTAGTGCTGAACAGAGAGGGACGTTCAGGGAGCCCTCCTGCCCCGTCCTGGGGACGTGAGTGCAGGGTCTGGGGGCCTTTGAGGACACCCATCATTCCTACCTGTCACCCGGCAAGGCTGGTACTCATATAGCCACTCCAGAGGAGAGGGCCAGCACTTGGAAGCAAGGGGCACTTCCAGTGCTGAAGATACGTTGCCTGGATCAGCTCCCACCCTTCCTACCGGAAGTAGCACTGCCTGGGAGGACCCACCCACCACCCTTCTCTCCCCCACACCCTGCCATGGCTGCAGACAGTCAGGACAAGGCTCATAGGTGATGACCGTAGCTGGTCATCTCGGGCAGCACCAGGCATTGCTGCAGGTCAGCAGCTGCTTCCTGAACATGGTGTGGCCCTTGTCATCCCCCTGCAGCAGCTGTTTCAAAATAGCTCTGAGCTTTTCAGCTCCCAGACCCAAGTAAGGCCCTCCTTGGCCACTTCTTTTGCCAAGGTGACCAATGCCAACTCCCTTGAGCTTTCCCACTTTCCTTCCTGTCTGTGCCACATCTTGTGACACAACTCCCAGGTACTTCCCACCACCTCAGAGGACCCTTCTCCTCTCGTCTCAGCTTTCCCTAACTCCCTGCCCTTTTGACCCAGCACTGCCAAGTGGCAGTGGGCTCACATGCTAACAAAAGGTATCCCTGCATCCTGCCCATCACTGGGGCCTAGCCCTGGACCCTCATTCAGACCACTACAGCATGAAGCTCATCAAATACCTCCCCATTAGGGTCACAGACTCTCTGAACTCATAGGGGAGCTGAGTGATCAGATAACCACGCACCGTCAGGGTGTCCAGGGCACCCTGGGATCTAGAGAGTCTGCAGGTGCAGTACCTGTGAGCAGTCCAGACCCAGGGCTCCAGCACCAGTCAACTGTCACCAGCCCACCTATCTTCTAGGACTCAGTTTCTCCCAGGTTTAGACTTGATCACATCTCAGCTTTCTTACAACTCTGATTCTATCAATTCTCTGAAACAATTCCATAGAGCAGGAGAGAGAGGCTCTTTGCTATTCTTCTGGTCACAAAGTTGGCTGACCTCTTCCCCTAACCCATGTGCTTCCAGATGAGGAGCCTGGGCCAAACCAAGGAAAACCCTTGTCCTCCCCAGGAGGCGAGAGGCATCATTAGATGCACACCTCACAGGTGGAAGTTTTCTTTCTTAGGGAAAGGGTGGACTGTTCTAGCACATGGCTTTCAGAGCTCAGACACTAGCTGTTCCCAAAGCCACACCCTCCTCTGGGATGCAGGTGCATGCTGGATCTGAGTAGGGGCCTCCCCTCCCCCCATGGTGTTCAAACCTTTGTTTTTAAACCTGCGAAGATCCATCTCTTCCCTGCGCCCCACCATCTCTTAGCTGCACTGTGGCTTTAAGGTCAGCAGGTGCCAAGCTCATCTATCTGCACAGAAAGCACAGCGGGGAGTGGCCTGGCAGCAAGCCATTACCTGTGATGTCCTTAAGGGTCTCTGTGTCCGCAGCCCTTGCAGGACTCACAGATGAGTGCACACAGGACACTAAGTTTCCTACCATGTCATGAAGGGAGGTAAAGTTCTCTAGGTTGAAAACATGCGTATTGAGCGGTTCGCTTGCTATTTCTCTTAAGGCTCCTTCATCTGCATCCTCAACTCCAACTGCAAACACGTTAAGGCCAGCTGACTTAAGTTCCGCTGGGGCCAGAGCGAAGCCATCCTCCGAGGGTCCGCGGGTTAGCACTACGATAACCTGGGGGACTCCGGCTGCAGCCCGGCTTCCAGCAGCCTCAGCGAGGTGCTTCTGAATTACATACTCTAATCCTTTTCCGGTCTGATTGCCGGCCTCGACATAGGACAGGTTGCAGACATGGGAAAGGACTTCCTGTTTAGTACCATACGTGTTTAACAGGAACTCAGTGTGTGGGTCTCCGTTGAACTGGACCAGAGCAAAATGAAAATCATTTTCTCCCACAGCTAAAGACTCTATAACATCACACAGAAATTCTCGAACGAGCTGGAAATGCTCCTTGGCCATGCTCCAAGAGGAATCCACTAGAAATATTATATCGGCAGCGGCACCATTTTTGACATCTTTAAAAAAAGACATTGGTTTAGATGTTTCTAAACTGCTCGAGCAATGACTTCCTACTAGTGCAAAAGCTTCCTGCCCAAACTTGGGTCATGAATATTCACACCTCGCTTGCAGAGTGGACAGGGAGGCCGACTTACCTGAGTAGCAGGACCCAGGCACAAGGACCCAGCAGCTGGCCATGCTCAGCCATGGCCCAAGTTCCATGTTTGGTGACCACCACTCAGGGGCCAGGCATATGCTCCAGAACGGGAGAAAACTCCTGGGGGACTTGGACTCGGACATGGTTGTCTGTGGCAATCTGACCCCCAAGACCCACCTGACCAGACCAGAGGGCTCTCTTATCACAGGTGACCGTCCACCACCTCAGAAGCCCACCTCCACTTTGGGGTGTGAAACTGAGCCTCAACAAGATGGGAGCATGAGCACTGCTGTTGTTCGACCAGCACTCACCCCCAGTGCATTGAGTAATTTTCAAGAAATATGGGTACAATAAGTATGTATTCTTTGAGGAAGATCTGTGTCAATGTAGACTAGGGAATGTCTCCTTTTGCCTCAGTTTTTGAGTGTAAATAGTTTTCTAACCACAGTAGTTACTGCGTGGTTTTCAGAGCCAGAAGTATTCATAGCCACTGAATATAGCTGAACTCACCCCCAGGTGTATCCGGGTTTCCCTCAAATATGGAAGCCCCGGGAACAGGGACATCAGTGCCAGAAGGAGCCCTTCAGCACCCCGGCCTGGGCTGACTCCAGGCCTCTACTTACCTCGGGCCAACCTGAGGCCCCACCCAGTTCCTGTGCCACTGGCCTCCCATTTAGGGCAGCCCAGGAGGCTGGAGGAAGCTCTGTGGCAACTCCAGGCAAAGGAGAGGGACCTGTATCAGCTTCCCCTCGGTGCATGAAGCATCTCTCCCTTTCCTGAAACTCTGAAAGCACATCCTTAATCAAGTCCTTAGGGTCTATGCTTTAAAGCCATTTTGGGAAACAGAATTTTTAAATATCCAATGACTCTAGATGCAAAATGTCTTTTTGTATCTTGGGTTACCTAAAGAGGGTGATCTTTGTTTTGTTTCATTTTATTTTGTTTTGTTTTGCAGGGAAAAGTATTTTTAATTTCAATATTCTCCCTATTTATTTGCTCCTCAGAGACCAACCAAACCCAGGAACCTAATCTAAGCTATATGTCCAGCCCATGGCATCTAAGATCTAGGATCTAAAGTCAGGAAACTCTGTCCCTTCTTGTAAAATGAGGGGCATTTCTGGACCTTACCTGTTTGGGCATAAGTCGTGGAAAAGCCTGAGAGAAAGAGGCAAAAGGTGGCCACCAAGGGCAAATGTCGATGTTTCCTCATTCTGAAGTTGTCTAAGCACCAAGTATGAACCTAGAAAAGAAAATGGGACAGAAGACAGTGATCACTCTTGTGCTGTTTCCTGTGAGATGTTTCCTGTGTCTTTCTTAGGCTTCTAAGGGGCCTCTGTGCCTAAGTCACTCTCTAAACTTGCATCAAATAGATAGATGAGAGACAAGTAGGTCAGTATGCTGGATGGATGGAGGGATGGGTGGGTGGGTGGATTGGTAGATGGATAGATGAGTAGATAAATGGGTGAGTGGATGAATGAGTGGATAAATGAGTGGATGGGTAGATGGGTGGATGGGTGGATGGATAGAGGGTGGATGAGTGGATAAATGGGTAGGCACATAGATGGGCAGATGAATGGATGGGTGGGTAGACAGATGAATGGGTAGATGAATAGATGGATGAATGGTTAAATCAACAGACAGATGATAGATGACAGATAAAGTTGATATGTAGACATACATCACATGATGACATTTTAATCAGTGACAGATACAACATTATGAAGCTGAACACAGAAGAGTACATCACTTAGCAGTACCATAGCCATCTGATTTGTGTAAGAGCACTTTACAATGTTCACACAATGACAAAAATTGCCAATTTTGTATCTCTATAAATGTACCCCCATTGTTGACCTAGGACAGAAATTCATTCACAAACACATACACACGTGCATAGATACACACAGATAAGGAGAGGAGGAAGGAAACAGAGAAAGAAGCAGAGGAGAGAGACTACAGTCTGCCGAGGATGGACAGCTACCCGGATGGTGCTGCACCCCCACCCCGCAACCCCGGCTGGACATCCTTGAACCCAGTGAGAAGAGCACAGCTATATTTTTCATGGACATCCATAGTAATTTCACCACAATCTGAAAACATTCTTTTTCTCTGTTCAAATTACTGATGAACTGAAGGCCTACACCTGCCATGAGAGGGCGTCTCCCTTAAACACACACATGAGAATCTTTACGGCTGGTGACTATTAAGTACCTTACAATTAAGCCTTTTTGTCTCCTGTACCGAGGCAGGCATCAGTCTGAGTGACCAGCAGAATGCAAGGGTTCGGCAGGGAAGGCATTAGTGACATAAGCGGCAGGCATGTGACAGCCAGACTCCTCATGTCTAAAGGAGTGGAGGAGCAGCTTGGTACTGGAGAGGAGGGCTGTGCCTCGTTCATAGTGTGTGCACAGCCACCAGGCAGCAAGGCCTTCCCTTCTGTCTCTCTCTCTGTCTCTGTGTCTCTGTCTCTGTCTCTGTCTCTGTCTCTGTCTCTGTCTCTCTTTCTCTCTCTCTCTCTCTCTCTCTCTCTCTCTCTCTCTCTCTCTCTCTGTTTGCCTCTTGCCCTGCTGAGTGCCAGCCTCTGATCACACAGCCCAGGAGCCCAGGAGATGCCCCTGGACAGACTTTGAAGCCAGGCCCAAGACTAAGTGCTCACTGCTCGTCTCCCACACTGCACCAGCTGGCAGCTACAAGAGTGATTGACGTCCAGGCAGCCAAGCTCAGGTCCAAGTGGCCCAAGCCATGCGACCTCTTCCCAGCCAATGATACCTTCTCTTCCCGCCTCAAGGCAGCACAGCAGTCTCACTCTCCTCGTCCCCATCCTGAGGCCCAGTCAGCCTCAGGACCCCTGCAGAAAACCGCCAGGGACAGCACCTCTTTTCCCCTCCCCTGAGCCTGAGGTCTCAGCTCCCCTGACTTTATCTTCAGCTATGACAGAGCCGCATAGGGACTTTGCACACAGAAGGGCCCATACTGGGGCCATTACTGTCCTGGATTCTTTGTCACTTTTGGAGGAAGAGCCCCACACCTGCATTTTGCACTGTCCTGCCGTAACCTAGGTCCTGGTACTGGCCACAGTTATAGTGAAAGTGACCATCCTCGCCCAGGCTGACAGGTGGCCTGGTCAACGGCTCCCTAATTGGGAGTTTGGGTGACAGTCCTGAGGAAGAATGGCACGGGCGACCCCAGGGCAAGTTGTGATGACACTGTTTTTGACATTATGATGTCCAAGTTCTCTGTCCCCACTGAGTGGTGATTCCTCACAACTGCTTTAATCATCCCGGCAAGACCCCTGTGGGTCAGTACTGATCTCTGTGCTTATCGTGGAGAAACAGGTTCAGAGCACACAGCTCTCAGCGAGACCTTGGGACATTAATGGCGTCCCCTCACCTGCAGGCTAACAGGAGGCAAAGGTAAGAAGAAAAACCTTCCATTCCCTCACAGCAACACCATGATGCACAGCCACTGATCGATCCAGTTCAACAGCCTCAATCTGGGCCTTTTTGGAATCAGAGGAATCAGAGATGCCAGGAAACGAAAGATGCTGGAGTCAGATAAATGTGAACCCTGGATCAATGGACCACAGCCTCCCTGTGGGAGGTCATTGAGGGGTGCTAAGCCTCAGTTTCTCCATCTCCAACATGAGAACCTCACCCCCAACAGCTCTGTCACCAGCTGGCTGTGGGTTCCCATGGTAAAGCCGCTCAAGGATGCTGACGCAGAAAGGGTGGCGAGTGAATTCCTAACGGGCGGGTTCTGACAGCATTTTCCAGACTAATCCCACAGAACACCCATTTGGGATTTGCAAAGCATCAACTGGGTGTCTCCTTCCAGAAGGGTGACAATACACATTAAAGGCTGCTGCTAGCAGTAAGTAAGGGATGTTCAGAAACAGGTTGCGTTTTAATCCAGAATTTACCAAACATATGTTCTGTGCCATCCTTTTTAACTGTAGGTGTTCGCCTCTCAGGAAATAGTCCACCCACTCTGAGAGCAGCAGGCTCCTTGCTGCTATGTCTGGTTTTGCTAAGTTCTTACCTCTCCGAGTCACCGGCTGAGGGCATCTGCACCTGCCCAGCCACTGGACTCAGCCCTGGATTTGCAGGTGCTTATACCTTCAAATGCCATTAACTGATGGTGGCACTCACCTCCTCCAAGTAGCCAAGTGAGACTGGTGTGGGTGCCCAATTTTCTCAAAAGAGGCCCCAGGAGAGGCACTAGCCAATGCCATCACCAGCATGGGAAACTGTTACTTATTTTTCTTGTACAGAGTTTCAAAGCACACTCGCTGATAGTGAGAGTAATATAGTACAGATCATTGATGCAGGAAATTCCATTTGGTTTAAGAAACTGAAATGCACTTAATCTAGAGAGATTAGGTTACTAATATATTTATATCTCACTGCTAGGTGCTGAAAGTTAAAAAGAAGGTCTTGCGGCGGATTTCAACATCTAAAGGCATTCAGCTTCACTGTGAGTGAAGGCCAAAAGCATCTTTCTCTCTGGTTTTCAAGTCTGTGTCAGATATGCAAATGCAATTTTTAAAATCATATTATCCTAAAAGCCCAAATGCCTCTAAATTGGTTTTAAATCTATGGGAATAGCATCACTCTGCTCTGAGGGGGCCAGAAGAAATGAGAACAAACTGGCCATGAGAAGCAGCTCACAGAGCATCCTCACTGTGGGGAAACCAGGAAGACTAACAAGACTCCAGGAGACCTGGGAGAGCAAAGACAGGCAACACCTATAACCTGGACAACCTATAAAAATTATATAAACTTCCAGAAATGTACAGCTTACCAAGACTTAGTTGTCAAAAATTTAAAATATGAACAGACTTATAGCTACAGTGGATTTTAAAAGGTAATAATCAAAAAACCTCCTAACAAAATGAAGCCCAGGATCATATGGCTGCATTGAAAAATTCTGCCAAAACATTTAAAGAATAACACAAATCTCTCCCAATTCTTGCAAAGAAAAGAGAACAGTTCTAAACTCATTTTAAGAGGCAAGCATTACCCAGAAGTCAAATGCAGCAGATACCACAGGAAAAAAATTACAGTCCAACATCCTTGATAAATATTGATGCAAAACAATTTCAATAAAAAAGTAGTAAAATAAGTTTAAAAACATATCAAGAGGATTATGCACTGTAACCAAGTGGGATGTATTCATGAAATGCAAGAATGGTTTGATGTACAAAAATTAAACACAGGACATACCACAAAAATATAGTAAGGGGGAACCACTGACCATCTCAATTAACGCAACAACTGCATCTGATGAAATTCAACATGTTTTCATGATAAAAAGAAAAAACACTCAACAAACTACGCATGGAAGGAAATAACTGTTACATAACACAGGCCATATATAGGAAGCCCCGAGCTATATCAGACTCAATAATGAAAAACTGAAAGCCTATTTTTAAGATCAAGAAAACAGTGAGTGCTCTTCTTAGTTTCTGTTTGACATAGTATGAAAAGTCCTTAAAAAAAGAAATTAGGCAGAGAAGAAAACTAAAGGCACCCAGTTTGGAAAGAAGTAAAAATACCTTTTTGCAGATGACATTAACTTATGTACAAAAATCCTTAAAGAACACACAGGCATTATTAGAACTAATAAATGAATTCAGCAAAGTTGCAGGATATAAAACCAACACCCAAAGTCAAAACACAAAAAAATTGCCTTTCTATACACTAATAATGAACCATCTAGAAAAGAAATTAAGGAATAATTCCACCAAAAAAAATTTTAATGACAATTCCATTATGATAGCATCAAAAAGAATAAAAATTTCAAAATAAGTTTAATCAAGGAATCAAAAGATTATGTACTGAACACTACAAAACATTGCTGATAGAAATTAAAATATAGATAAGTAGACCTATGTCTCCTGTTCACAATATGAAGACAAATCATTAAAATGTCGATACTACTCAGGGCAACCTTCAAATTTGATGCAGTACAAATTCAATTCATCAAAATATCAATAGCATTTCTGAATAAATATAAAAAATACTAAAATTAGGATTGCAGAGAGCTCCAAATATTCAAAACAATGCTGAGAAAGAAAAACAATACTAAAAACTTCATGCTTCCTGATTTCAAAACACATTGCAGAGTAACAATAATCAAATTGATATGATACCAGCATAAGGAACACAGTGGCCCAAAAATAAACCCACCCCAAATGGTCAAAGGCTCTTTGATAGCTGTACCAAGGCTAAATAGTGGAGA